GAATAGAGGGAAACAGGTCCGTGACGTAGGAAGTGATATGAAGGAAGTAGTAAATGCGAGCAGTCCGGAGTGTGGGGACTGTTTATGACGATAAGATTAGGGTATCTGCAATCCTAAAATGCTATGGGAAGGGAGGAAAACAGGTCCGCGACGTAGGAAGTGGTGAAGGAAGTAGTCAAGGCGAGTAGTCCGGAGTGCGGGAACTGTTTATGACGATTAGATTAAGGTATCTGCAATCTTTAAGTGCAATGGGAAGGGAGGGAAACAGGTCCGCGACGTAGGAAGTGGTGAAGGAAGTAGTCAAGGCGAGCTGTCCGGAGTGTTGGAACTATTATGACGATTAGATAAGGGTATGGGCAATCCTAAAATGCTATAAGAAGGGAGGGAAACAGGTCCGTGACGTAAGAAGTGGTGAAGAAAGTAGTCAAGGCGAGCTGTCTGGAGCGTGGGAACTGGTTATTATGATTAGATTAAGGTATTTGCAATCCTAAAATGCTATGGAATGGGAGGAAAATAGGTCCGCGACGTAGGAAGTGGTGAAGGAAGTAGTCTAGGCGAGTTGTCCGGAGTGTTGGAAATGTTTATGACAATTAGATTAAGGTATCAGCAAACCTAAAATGCTACGGGAAGGGAGGAAAACAGGTCCGCGACGTAGGAAGTGATGAAGGAAGTAGTCAAGGTGAGCTGTCCGGAGTGTGGGAACTGTTTATGACGATTAGATTAAGGTATTTGCAATCCTAAAATGCTATGGGAAGGGAGGGAAACAGGTCCGCGACGTAGGAAGTGGTGAAGGAAGTAGTCAAGGCGAGTAGTCCGGAGTGTGGGAACTGTTTATGACGATTAGATTAAGGTATCTGCAATCTTTAAATGCAATATGGAATGGAGGGAAACAGGTCCATGACGTAGGAAATTGTGTAGGATGTAGATGTGTGGATTTATGTATCTCCAATACTACGGTGCTTTCAGAGTGAACTAATGATTTTCCCCGAGCAAAGCTCGGTCCCCAGGTACTATAATCAAATGACGACACTAGCTTGAGGTTCGTGACGTATGAAGAGGTTAAGGAAGTAGTAAAGGTGAACAGTCTGGAGTGTGGAAACTGTTTATGACGATTAGATTAGGGTATCTGCAATCCTAAAATGCTATGGGAAGGGAGGAAAACAGGTCCGTGACGTAGGAAGTGGTGAAGGAAGTAGTCAAGGCGAGCTGTCCGGAGTGTTGGAAATGTTTATGACAATTAGATTATGGTATCAGCAAACCTAAAATGCTACGGGAAGGGAGGAAAACAGGTCCGCAACGTAGGAAGTGATGAAGGAAGTAGTCAAGGTGAGCTGTCCGGAGTGTGGGAACTGTTTATGACGATTAGATAAAGGTATTTGCAATCCTAAAATGCTATGGGAAGGGAGGGAAACAGGTCCGCGACGTAGGAAGTGGTGAAGGAAGTAGTCAAGGCGAGTAGTCCGGAGTGTGGGAACTGTTTATGACGATTAGATTAAGGTATCTGCAATCTTTAAATGCAATGGAATGGAGGGAAACAGGTCCATGACGTAGGAAATTGTGTAGGATGTAGATTTGTGGATTTATGTATCTCCAATACTACGGTGCTTTCAGAGTGAACTAATGATTTTCCCCGAGCAAAGCTTGGTCCCCAGGTACTATAATCAAATGACGACACTAGCTTGAGGTTCGTGACGTATGAAGAGGTTAAGGAAGTAGTAAAGGTGAACAGTCTGGAGTGTGGAAACTGTTTATGACGATTAGATTAGGGTATCTGCAATCCTAAAATGCTATGGGAAGGGAGGAAAACAGGTCCGTGACATAGGAAGTGGTGAAGGAAGTAGTCAAGGCGAGCTGTCCGGAGTGTTGGAACTATTATGACGATTAGATAAGGGTATGGGCAATCAAAAATGCTATGGGAAAGGGAGGGAAACAGGCCCGTGACGTAGGAAGTGGTGAAGGAAGTAGTCAAAGCGAGCTGTCCGGAGTGTGGGAACTGTTTATGACGATAAGATAAGGGTATCTGCAATCCTAAAATGCTATGGGAAGGGAGGAAAACAGGTCCGCGATGTGGGAAGTGGCGAAGGAAGTAGTGAAGGCGAGCTGTTCGGAGTGTGGGATCTGTTTATGACGATTAGATTCAGGTATCTGCAATCTTAAAATGCTATGGGAAGAGAGGGAAACAGATCCGCGACGTAGGAACAGGTGAAAGAAGTAGTAAGGTGAGCAGTGTAGAGTGTGGGAACTGGAAACCGTTTGTAGCAGTTTTAATGTATCTGCAATGCTGAAATGCTATGAGAAGGGATGGAAGCATGCCCAAGACATAGGAAATTGTGAAAGAAGTAGTAAAGTCTAGCAGTACGGACAGTGGGGATGTTTGTTGCAATTAGATTAACGTATCTAAAATACTAAAATGCTATGGAAAGCGATGAATACAGGTCCACGACGTAAGTGGTGAAGGAAGTAGTAAAGGCTGGCAGTGCAGAGTGGGGGAACCGTTTGAGCAGATGGATAAGTGAATTTGTAATACTTAAATGCTATGAGAAAGGAAGGAAACAGGCCAATGACGTAGTAAATGGTGAAGGAAGTAGTAAGGCTAACAGCGCAGAGTGTGGGAACTGTCTTTGGCAATTACATTAATGTATCTGCAATCCTAAAATGCTATGGGAAGAGAGGGAAACAGGTCCACGACGTAGGGTGTGGTGAAGGAAGTAGTAAATGTGAGCAGTGTTGAGTTTGGGAATGGATTAATGTATCTGCAATGCTAAAATGCTACGGGAAGAGACTGTAGACTGTAATATATTAAAAATGATTACGAAGCACAAATCTATACATATTTTCGATACATGCAATCGTTTACAATCGAAATTTACAACTGAGTTGACAACAGCTGATTTTCATTCCATAGAGGCTAAAAACGATTTTTACTCCCTAAATATTAAAAATGCTACTTTAAACCTGCAGCACATGCATGAAAAAATACTGTTTTTACTGCAGTAAGACAAAAACAATATAATATGAACCCTTGATGACTCCGCTCAATTTTGTGGATGCCTCTGCGAACGCCACCTAGTAAGATATACCAACAGGGTGCAGCACTATTATTTTTTTCATTTATCAAATCTGCTATGAACTAAGCAGCAACTAAAAACTTTGATACAAAATGAGAACTGTCAAAGTAGGAGTGTTTAGTCATGTTTATGATTTTAATTTCATGAATAATTTGTGATATTTTGGGAGTTTTTAATAATTTATTTTTTCTAATGTTATGTGAAGTGGTAGAACATTATAACTATGGTAGATGTGTAATACTATAGTATACCGTACATTTAAAGAAGCAAATTTGATCAAACTGTGTCCTCCCCCATTACAAATGTAAAGCTTCAGTAAATACTGCAATAAGCATTTTGGATTTATATGCTAACCCGGTACGAAGGACGGGCACTCTGCTAGTTCTCCATAAGAATAACATGTGAATTTTAAATTTACAGATTTTTGTAATTTTCTCCGTAACCATTAGGTGCATAATAACGCTTCAATATACTAAATTATTTGTTTTTTTAAGCTCTACAAAATGGTTTGGAAAGAAATTGCTAAATTTTAAGTTTTTAGGGTCAAAAATGGGAAAAAACAATTTTTACCCTATAAAACCCCCCATAAACCCCTGTTCCCATAGTCCGATCATGCTGGCTCGCGAACTCGTTCAAATAAACGTACGTTTACACGTTTGTACCAAATTTCGCGCTAACGGACACATATATAAATATATATGCTATTGTAAATCATCGAACCAACTTTTTCAAGTTCAAATGATTTATTTGGCCATTCAGTACAAACAGACAATAGGCTACGTCAAACAATACAATAGAGCTGAAATAAACACATGCAGGATCTCATTTACTATAAAACATGCAAAGCAATGCATGCAACTAAAAGTGAAAAAAAATAAAAACTACATGCTGCAAGCCATGCAAGGCAGAGAAAAATAAATAAATTTACAATTTCGTAATACCTCTACTGGACTACTGTGGGTTCAACACAATAGTAAAACTGTGCATTCCAAAACTCTTTTATAGAATAAAATGGATTGGCAAGCATCCAAGCTTTTAGTGTGGTCGCAAACTTGTTCGGTAAGAGTTGTCTGACAGTTATGGGTAAGGCATTGTAGAACCTTATTCCTGCAACAGGAAAACAGTTGAGAGTTAAATCTAGTCTAACTCTATCTCTAAAAATATTTTCATTGTTCCTAGTGCTATAATGATGAACATTATTAACCAATGGAAAATCTGATTCATTGTTCTTAATCTCTAACAGGCATTGGTAAATAAATACATTGTGTACAGGCATTATACCATGCTGAACAAACAGAGGTTTACAATGCTCCAGCTGATGGACTCCACACAAGACCCTGACAGCTTTCTTCTGTAGTTTGAGGACTTTTTGCACTCCAGGGGAGTGACCCCAGAGCCTAGTGAAATTTTCTTTTTAGTTGAAACAGCTGACTAAATTCTTTAATTCCCTTTAAATATGAATACTCATAAGGTTAACATGGGGAATTACAGAGCCACTGGGGCGGAGCCCGAAAGGATTTTTGAGATAAGAATATGCCTATATGTTAATCGGGAATGTAAGCTATCATCATGCCAAATTTCAGCCCAATCCGTCCAGTGGTTTATGCGTGATTTAACTTCAAACACACAAACAAACAAACACACAAACTTTCACAATTTATAATATTAGTAAGATTATGACAACATACCAACGTTAGATAGCAACTATGATCAAGATTATAAGCCCCCCCCCCCTACAATAGAATTTGACAGAACTCTAAATCTATGGCTATGTTATCATCGTCCCATTCTTTGAGACCCACGGCAATTTCTTATCAACTTTCCAGCATCTTTATCCCTTGACCTAAACTGCTTTTTCCTAAAATAATTGGCGCGAATCTCTGGTGACAGCTATATTTTTTCTGCTGTCCAGAATGTTTTGAACGCCTTGGTTCGGTTGTTTGGGTTCGTTTCGTTTCGTGTTATTTCTTCTTCAATTCCACAACGTTAAACTTTAACTTTTTTAACTGAAAAAGTCAACTATTAAATCGTAAGAGAAGTGTTATGATTTTAAAATTTGATTTAAGTAATTTAAGTTCCTAGTTCTAATGAAGTTTAACTTAGTGCTACCTACCTACAACAAATTGTTTTGTTACATAGGCCTACTCGAATTTATACTGCTGTGTTGTGAACTAATTTAAAATTTATAGACTCCAACTCTGTTTGAATTTATAGCCTAGGCTTTCTCCTCAAACACAATGGAAGATTGGACAGAAGAAACTCTATTTAAACTCCCTGTGAAGGAACTAAAATCGCTGGCACGTAAAAGTAAAGTAAATCCCAATTTCAAGAAGGTATGTTCAGCCTATAAGTTAACTTAATTAATTAAGCTAATAAATAAAATTTCAGTTAGAAGGCCTATTTCAGCCTTGTCTGTGATTAAACATATGAATAAACTGGATACATTTTTCAAATATTAAAGGGTTTTGGAAGAGAAATCATTGAATAAGTCCTTAAGTAACCTAGGCCTAGGCCTCTATCAATTTATTTTAGCCTAGGCCTAGTTTATTATTATCATTTTTTTAATTTGTGCTTAGACCTAACTTACTCAGGCACAATTCTTCAAAATAAAAGCAGGTCCCCTCCACTCGATTTGCAATTTGCCATTTTGAAACTTTGATAACTTATCCGATCTGATCATAGTGTTTTTAGCAAGATAACTTATTAGGCTACAAAATATCAAACCAAGGCAATTACTTGATTGGCATTTTATTTACAGCCTAGGCCTATCCAGGTCTTTATTAGGCTAAGTTAAGTTACTTCCCCACCTCACCTCTTACTTTCATAAGTAAGTTAGGCCTACCTAGGCTTAGTAGACCTAACGGTAATACTGAACTTATAGCTACTACCGGTACTTAAAAGTTTATGTTAGGCTAGGCCTATATTGTTTTTTTTTTTTTTACCTTACCTACCGGTATCTACAAAAATTATGCTATTTTAAGCAATTTTTACCTTTGGCACTTTTGGAGTAAACGATTAGCCTATTTCACCCTGAAAATCCCGTTTGAAAATTGCAAAAACGCTAGAAATCAATGATTTTTGGGACTTCAAAATACCTAATCTTAAGTCATAGTTCCTATGTGTTTTTTTTTATTTTTATTATTGAGTCTAGCCTATTTCAAACACTCTGTTGTTTTTGACTTGTTGTTTCTAGCCAAATTCATATGTGGCTAGTAAAGAACCCGTTCTACAAATTTAACGATTTTTTAGAACTTCCTAAACCATTACATATTGAGTACTTAATGATTGTACTTTTTTTCTCTTGTAGTTATCCTCATCTGCATGCATTTTATATTATCTAGCTGTATCTTTTGATTTGACCTTGTACTCTACATCTATTGTACTCTTCCTTGACAAATGTTTACCAACATAACCTTCATTGACCATTCCACATGCATTTGTAATGTCTATTGTAAAATAAAGCTTTGATTTGATTTGACGTGGACCTGTTTCCCTCCCTTCCCATAACATTTTAGTATTGCAGATACCTACATTAAGCTAACTGCCACAAACGATTCCCACACTCCACGCTGCTCCCCTTAACCACTTCCTTCACCACCTCCTAAGACGTGGACCTGTTTCCCTCCCTTCCCAGTATTGCAGATACATTTTTATTAAACTGCCACAAACTGATCTCACACTCAGAAACTGCTTGCCTATAGGCCTACCGCTTCCTTCACCACTTCCTACGACATGGACCTGTTTATCTCCCTTCCCATAGCATTTTAGTAGGTAGGCTACCTATTGCAGATACGTTAATCTAACTGCTGTTTCTACACTCAGAACTGCTCACCTTTGCCACTTCCTACGACGTTGACTTGTTTCCCTCCCTTCCCATAACATTTTAGTATTGCATATACATTTATTAAACTGCCATAAACGTTTCCCACACTCCGCACTGCACGCCTTTCCCTATTCCTTCACCACCTCCTATGAGGTGGACCTGTTTCCTTCCCTTCCCATAGCATTTTAGTATTACAGATAACTTACATTTATTTAACTGCAAAAAACGGTTCCCACACTCTGCACTGCTCACCTTTACCACTTCCTTCACCACCTCCTACAACAGGGGTGCCCACCCCCCCCCCTAGACTCATGACGCAACCCCCCCCCCCCAATTGAGCATTGAAGCCCCCCCCCCCCACACCATAAATGAGGTACACAACAAATGAGAAAGGTTATTCCCCCGCCCAGCATTATTTGCAAAACTAAAAGAAGTTTTATACTTTTTTTTAGATAGGCCTATTGAAAATTCAAATCAGATAGTAAAATAAAATATCAAATGTAAAATTCAAACCCAGTTAATCTATAAATAAAGATGTAGTTTTGTCTGTACATTGCTCAGACAGAATTATACATTATGTCCGTCTGTCACGGCCCAGATAGTATTATACGCATTCTACTCTAAAGAAAACTAGAGTAGGTACCGATTATGATTCTAATGGTTTAATTGTATTCACAGGATTGGCGAGAGTGTCCTTAGCCATTAAAATATGGCCTCACTAGTTTGGAAATAAAATAACGGACGATCAAAAACACAATTTTGTGTGATTTTTTCAAATTTTTTTCTCCATGTTTACTACAAACGTCATTTATGAAATATTAATAATCTGTTAAGAGAACACGTCATATATGAAATTACGAACAGCTGTTATGATAAAGATTCCTTTTTCTAGCTGTCACTGATATGTTTACATAAATGCTGTTTACGAATACTGTGTAGGCCCTAACCATTTCCGATCACGTTTGTAAGCAAACCCAAAACCAAGTGAGATTAATAACCGTGTGGCTTTGGCTCACATAACGGGTTTGATTTATAACGGGTAATATGTAGCCTAACTGTAAATTAAATTAAATAAATAGCCATCATCCAGGTCGGGAACCGGAGATTCTGTGTGTATCAAGTTGTACTTGAATTTTGATTACCGGGGAAAGACCGTGAATCAGTGTTGTACAGGACTGGAAAAACTTATCTTTCTATATAAATAAAATTAGAGTTTTATAATTATAAGTCACCTCAATTTTTAAGGAATTTATTATTGCCAGAATATAGCGTTCTTAACCTCTGCTTAACGAACTGTCAGCGTCTTTCTCTTGTTTTAACGACCCTCTATCCCTCCCTTTTGAAACATCACAGCTCCTTTGATGAAAATGAAATGGAAACAACGCTTGCGCCAACAATCGTCTGCTCAGCCTGTCTGTTGTGCGCTATGTTACAACAGATTTCAGATACAACAGCTGGGGAATCAAGGCTCTGATTGGGCAACGAGTAGGCCTAAATATGGCGACTTGTTGAATTTGTGTATGAATTGAAGAGAAACCTAATAGGCTAAATGACAGAAGAACAAAGAAAAAGAATAACAAGATTGTTCTCGCGTTAGGCCTACATTATTTTTTTGAACAAAGAAAAACAATAACAAGATTGTTCTCGTTACATTCATTTTGTAAGAGTATTTTTATTATCTCTAAATATAATTTTACACTTTTTTATTTCTTATCTATCTATTCCTATGTTGTGATACAGCACCTACCGGTAGCCTATCCGACTATCATGAGCAGTAGATTATAACACTTTCTAAGGTTTAATATTTATGTTATTTATAGCAATGCAGTGTTTGGCTAGTTACTAGTTGAGTTTGAGTTACCCTAGCTATAATTTTAAACGTTGCCGTTTGTACAACTGAATCAAGATAAATAATTTGAAATGTCATAATTAAATTGCACAATAATAATGATTGTGTAATATTGAATTTATAAAAAAAAAATGCAAATCATGACGTTAATGGGCCTGTTTAGAGCGTTTTTAATTTTGTTTGGTTTGTCATCTGTTTTTATACTATATGGGATTAACCGTATTTTTCGTTACCTCCCCCCCCCCCTACTAGCTCAGGTAATTGAGTATCTACACAATAGTGTAAAATATTGTAGCCTATGCTACTTGATTGTATTTTAATGAGCTATGTCAACAAAGTGTTCTGTGCTGAGTCGCGGTGTAGCTGGACGTGTCTGTACCACACGTTATCTTTATCTATCTCAGCAGTTGAGTTATTCCGTGCCCTCCCTCTTAGATCTCACGTTCGTCTAATCTTGAATAATAACTTCCTACTCGAATCCTAAACCATCCTAAAATCCTATTTTAACTAATGGAATTCAATAATATAACTATTGTCATTAATCCACTTTCTATCGGGTGACTTGTAAAATATTTTTGATTATCGCCACGTTGAACACTGTTGCAATTAACTTTAGCCACCCCCCCCCTCCATTTGAATTTTTGCAAACCCCCCCCCCAGAATTTCAATGACACAGTCTGCGTCACAGCCCCCCTTGTGGGCACCCCTGCCTACGATCATGGTTTCGCCTTACTACACAATGAAGGGTGTAGCTGTTTATTTGTAAAATATACTGTTGATTGGTATTTATTCAGGGGACATTTCAGTTAGGCTACCCTATGATGTTTCGCCAAAAAAAAACCACCTAAGTTAACTTATTTTTTTCACAGGCGGAGTTGGTGCAAGCTTTATTGACTAATGTTAAACACATAAGTGATGAAAGTGGATCTAGTAGTGATCAACAACCCAAGAGAATGACCAGATCTAGAGTAAGCATGTGGCAGACTGCTGAAGAGACGGCAACAAATGTTAAAAACATATCTGGAGAAGAAAATTTGAATTTAGACACAGCTGTAAAAGTTTCTGTTAAAGATAAAAGGACAAAGAGAAGAAAAGTGAAAGAGGCTGAGGATGTAGATTCCTATGACACTTCTGAAATGTTCCCACTGGTAAGCACCATTCAGTTAGCTTCTAAACCGCTGGTGGAAATAACAAATAAGAATGTTGTTAGACAAGAAGTAAAACTAGAAGTTCAAACTGATCCAACAGCTAAAAGATCAAAGAGGTCCAGGGGACTAGAGAAAAATGTGGAAGTAAGGTTGTCCTTTAACAACACTGATTTGAACAAAGAAGCTCCAAAAGTAACTGTGTTGACACCAGATAGAATTGATGATCAGGAAGTTACAAAATTAAGTAGCTCATTTGTAGTGGAAGGAGAGAAATCAAGTTCAAAAGATGTTGAAAGGACAAAAAACCATAAACCACTGGTTGAAAAGTTACAATCGAATGGGAAACAAAACTTAAATAAATCCAAACAATTGGATGAACAAATCCTAACAAATTGTAACAATAATAAGATTGAAGCAAGCAGCGAAAATGATTTGATCACCAATGAGAAAAAAGGAACAAAAAAATCAAAGCGTGGGAGAAAGAGGAAATCACAATCTCCTCTTGATGATGATACAAAATCTGGAAACGCTTCAATCCAACAACAATCTGCTGATTCATGCAATCTAGAAGCAAATTTACAGAGTCGTTGTAAAAAAAGGAGGAAAAACGTTACCAAGGATGATCAAGAAAGTGAAATCGAATCAAGTACCGGTAATGAAACAACAATAAAAAATACAAAATCTCCTAGAAATCAAAATCCTGATTTGTTGAATAATTGTAAAAAAGACCAGGTAATCCAGCCGGTGGAAAATAATATAGTTTGTAGCACAGAAGCAAATGCACTTAAAAAGAGTGCAAGAGGTGGAAAAAATAAGCAACACCTACATACCTTCATAGAAGAAGAAAGCTCTAAAATTCAAGAGGAAACAGAATCAATTGAGGTGTCAAACAATTGTTCAAGTTCCCAGAGAAAGTCTCGGAGAAGTAAATCTCTATCAACCTCCCAAAATGAATCTGCGGTTGTGAATAGTAACTGTAATGGTTCTTTAGCAAGGAGGTCCTCTATGTCAAGCAATACTTCAAAGAAGGATATTTCCTTTAACAAAGACACTTCAACAATTGAAGGTGAGTACAGTTACGATTAATGAGACATATGGAAATTCAAAACAATCCTTTCTTTTTGCACATACTATTACAGAAGTGTCAATCCTAAATTTTAGCATTTCTAAGTGTGATAGTTTGGCCTGTGTATTCATTGCACTTTCTATCAACATTCTCTTTTATGTTTGAGCGTATTAGCATTGACCATATAGCTATTCCAAAGCAAGACTGAATACCATACGGGGGACGAGAGTGAAAAAAATAATGGTCTGCCGCGTACTTTGAGCACACACCTCTTCGCAAATACTTTTTATCCTTAAATGTTTTAAATCAAATTTGGCAAGATGATAATCTTAAGTACGATAAAATACTGAAGTTTCTGTGCTTATAACTCAGTCGTGCTAAAGAAAAACGGACTGAGGAACTAAATTGCTCTTGAAATAAACTTGGGTACTTTTGTATTATACGGAGGCCGCCCTTATACAGCGCGCTGCGGCGGTTTTGTTAAGTTGGGTTATAATAAATATGTTTGTAGGACTTTCCTCGTTCTGTTATGAATCGAACGATACCAAATGAGTTATAATTTCGCCCGCCAAATCCCCTCCAAGTAGCCAAGGTCAGGTCATTGACCGGAGCGCGCGCATCACCTGTCACCGCCTGTATCTGAGCCATTGGAAAAACTCAGGACACTTGGTCAGTGTACTGAGTGATGACTCATCTGGTATCGTTCGATTCATAACGAAACGTTGAAAGTACTACAAACATATTTATGATAACCCAACCTAACATGACCGCCGCAGCGCGCTGTATTCCTACTTGGCGGAGTACATGTTATTATCGTCACTTGGCGCTACCCATGGACCAAAAAAAATTGTAACTGAACTCAATTCATTGTTTTACTATGAAGTTACTCCGGACAACAATAATCTTTAATGTTCAATTATCTTTTCTTGGAACCTGTTGTCCAAATTCATTCCTTGATAAACAAGAATATTAATGCATTATGAAAACTGTGCTGCGATAAAGTATATACCTATATCATTTACAACATAAGGGCAAAGGGTTTGCTGTTAATTAAGGTCTCTTTTGAGCTCCTGTCACAGCAAAATTTAGTTCAAATCTGAGGCCTCCTACGTGTTTCTTACTTTATCGACTACCATTCTAAATGGTCCCCGCCAATATAGGATGATTATTCTTGTCATAGTATTTAAAATCACTGTGAAAGAAACTTGACACTCCTGCGCGACTGAAAATAATGCAAATGACATTAAACACGAATAATAAATGGTATTAGCAATCTGACACATGCTTTCAACTGACGGTGGGAGTAACTATTGTATTTTATAAGGAAAAATCACAAAAGTTGCAATAACTTTTGAATCCTAATTGTTTAGCAATGGGGACTTGCACTATTTTGTTTAGAATTACAGTAGAATCTCACTAATTCAAATTTCAGAGGAAATACAAATTTTGAATTATGGGATGTTTGAAATATAGAGTTTGATTTATATAGGTCAGAATAAATAAAATTTGAATTATGGAGGTCCCAGTTTTAAGCGTAGAGAGAGAACGGAAGCAACTGAACACATCTTGGGAACATCAATACATGTTTAATACATGTGTAGTACATGTTTCAACAGGTGCATTTTTTTTTATAAATTTGAATTACAGAGGCTTACGGTAACGCAGTTCAAATTGTAGAGGTTGACTGCGAATTTTTAAGGTAATAGTTCGAATTACGGCAACAAAATTCAAATTGTAGAGGCTCCATTAAGTGTAAAAATCTCTTTGAATTATCGGTAGGCTATATTATTTTTCAAATTTTAGAGGTTTTCTGAGAGGAACAGACAAACATTGCTAATTATAAAGGTTTTTGAATTATCGAGGTTCGAATTAGCGAGGTTCTCCTGTATAAGGACCATAACAAATTAATTTTAATGAAAACAGGCTTTTTTCTAATATCCGAGTTTTTGATGTTTTATGGCGGTTTTTTGGGGTAGCGGATTTTTATCCCCCTGGAATTTTAAACCTGGTCAAGACTGACGTCACAAACCAGGGGGTTAAAATTCCGTCCGCGAACTTTCGAGTTGTACAACATCATTTCAATGAATTTAAGGTGGAATTAAACGCATATTTTCACGGTTGTGAATTTAATCAGAACACATCAAATTATAAAAACCTAGAGTGTACGGGCCAAAATTTTACCCCCAGACTATTACTCGGGCCTTTATTAGGTCAGCTCAAAATGTATGGCCCGGATTTTTACCACCGGAATTTTACCTCCTGGCCAGATATAGCAATAAGTTAGAATGATTCATTTTCTTCTTTCAGTTTTAATTTAATAGTAAACATTGCATTATTAAGTAGCCTATCTTAATTTATCTGTAACCTTAACTAATCAAACAGGTTTTTTATTTTAATTTGATATTCAAGTTTTGGGATTCGATTTTTGGGGCAAACTGTTGGTTAATATGTATATACAAACATATGGGTTTCCTTGCAGTAGTCAACACAACAATTGGTCAAATACTTTGTACCGGATGCCTACAACTACAATTTACAACAGGTATTTTGATGACCTTTCTCAGTACAAACCATAAATAGCTCGTGCCTGAAGAAACAAAAAGGCATGTGTATAACAGAAACAAAATACATTTTTTTACACGGTGGTATGTATAATACATTGTTTAAGAAAAGTTCACCCAATTATCATTTAAATGAGATACTCAGTTTATTATACATACATATTAACCAACAGTTAGCCCCAAACCCAAATAACAAACATCAAAATTAAACACAGAAAATCCTGTTTACTTAGGCTAGTTGAGATTACAAATAAATTAAGATAACGCTACTTAATAATAAAATGTTTACTATTAAATTAAAACTGAAAGAAGAAAAATTAATCATTCTCAATAATTTCTTTATCTGTCCAGGGGGTAAAATTCCGGAAGTTGAAAATACGAGGGGTAAAATTCCAGGGTGAAAATCCGGGCCGTACATCTACAGTTGCCTAAACACTAGTTATTTGGACAGGTGGTAAAATTCCGGTTTTTATTGCTAATCTAATTTATCACGCACAGTCTATTTTCATTGGACTTAAATTTCGGCGGGGGTAAAATTTCGCCACAAACAAACTTTAGAGCGCTCAGGTTACTACGTCACAGTGACGTCAGCTTTGCCCAGGGGGTAAAATAACTGGGGGATAAAATTCCGGTGACCGGTTTTTTTTATAATAAAATAACATAAGTTAGAATACCTTTGAACCATAATTTTTACGGAAATGTTATTTGTACCATATTATTCAAAATTTAAAGGACATTAACATACAAATTTTAATTAAAAGCAGTTTTTTTTCTAAAATCCGATTTTTTGTTTCCTATTTTATGGGGGTTTTATGAGAAAATAACATAACTTATCAATGATTAAAGACTTTTTTGATAGTAAAAACCTTATTTGTACCATATTATTCAAAATTTAAAGGACATTAACATAAAAATTTTAATTAAAAGCAGTTTTTTTTTCTAAAATCTGATTTTTTGTTACCTATTTTATGGGGGTTTTATGAGAAAATAACATAACTTATCAATGATTAAAGACTTTTTTGATAGTAAAAACCTTCTGCTAAATTCACAAAAATCTAATTTTGTAACATTTACAGTACAACCAAACAGACTAAGCAAAAATTAAATCCCACAATATTCATTGAAGAAAACCTAATAGATCAATTAGAGAAAACAACTTTTTTGGGATTAGTTATTGATGAAAACCTAACGTGGAACGACCATGTAAATCTTGTAGTTAAAAAAACAACAAGTGGTTTGTATGCTCTTCGGAAAATGGCAACCTCTTGCAATATTGAAACTTTAAAAAACAATTTATTTTGCCTTAATCCATTCACATGTGTCTTATGGTATCTGCATTTTATGGGTCTTATGCTTCCTGATTTCTAGACTCACGCAATATCTTGCTACTAACTCACGATGAGGAATGTATGGTTAGTCAACTACTGTCCAACCATTCACTGGCTACTTGACCTTTTTAAACATAACAATATACACACATATTTTGTAGGAAGAACATTTATCTACACAGATCGGCATTTGTTTTCAAACTACGTATTATCTATTCACATTATTGGTGTTTTGTAAGTGCCATTTGCAACTGAGCTTTGAAGAAAATGTAAAGCATAAGATATAAAATATAGATTTTAGATTTGGATTGTTTTATATAACAAATCTTTCAAATGACGACTATATCAAATAAATTTAAGAACACATAGTTTTAACAACAGCGGAACCTTAGTTGTACATAAATTAAAGAGGTTATCTTTATCACGTAAAAACGATATTTAGGTTGGAAATTGGAGGTCAGTCACACTCTCTCAATCACACGAAAGTGAACTATCCCCGAGTGACCTGACATCCCAATTAACTGGTATGACCTGTTTTAAACATTATATTAAACAATAGGTCGAATAATTTGTACCGGAAGCCTGGAACTACATTTTACAACAGGCATTTCGTTCACATTAACAGTATATAGCTATGGTAAGTTCTGAATCAACATTAAGGCATTGTATTGGCGTAGCCAGGTTTGGATTGGAGCGCCCTGGAGCAGAAATTGCCTAACCACCCCTCTCCAAAATTGAACCCTATAAAAATATAGCCTATGATAGTTTATTTCCCTCTTAGTGGTCTTCGTTGATAAACACTTAAACCACAACGTTCAACGTACGTCTATTTTCAATTGACAATAAATTACAAATTATTGCATAATAGTATAATGAAGGTAGTTAATAATATATTTCGGAACTCTATCATGACTGTTTTTAGGCAGACTCTTAAGATAATGAGATATTGACAGTAGAAATACTGAAAAATTTATCGCTATGTGATGAAGGGGCTGCCGCGAGACGGTAGTGATCGTCTGTAGAGGCAGTAATGAGTGCAGACTGCTGAGTGACAACTGGTGTACATCCATAGTTTGTTAGTACATAACTATCCATGTTGGTACTGGTACAGCTTCCTTTTTACTTCTCATATTATTTATAAAGCAGTTAGGTTCAAAATGCTGTTCACATACTAAACGTGAGTGTAAAGCAGTGTCGGGAAGGCCTTTCCGTTTTTTGTACAATTGTAATTCACTATAAGTGTATTTCACTGTAAGTGGACTAACCCACAAATTTTCAGTTTTGAGATTGGTATACCTGCTGGTGAAGAAAAATCAGCTCTAATGGTAAAACAAGCTAAGCTCTATCAGCTGTATTTTTTTTTTCTAGAACAAAAAAAATGTTTAGTCCAAAATGCATTATCACACATCTTCTTCTAGGCAGAATGGACTAACCCACAAAATTAAGTGCAAATTTGGACTATCCCACATTAGAACAATGTTAATCCAAATGTCATTTTGTTGTAAAGTCAAAATGGACTAAACTGTGACATGCCATTTATTTTTTTGCTCTATTCTCCTTTATACTCTGTGTAGGTCTTTGATCCACATTTTTTGGTGTAACAGTAAAATGGACTAACCTTATTGTTAAAATGGACTAACCCACAGGACATGGAAGCAAACCGGACTACTCAATTTTGGAAGCCATTTTGAAAATGAAATATTGTGTTTTTTTTTTACAATTTACCAAACAGTATAATTCTATGGGTTTGATCTGTCAGATTACAAAAAATCATAATCCAGATCAACTTCTGACCTATGATTTTTTAACTTTAGCACTTAATATCTCAAAACTTACTTTTTGGGGTTAGTCCACTTTGCCTTTAGGGGCTTCACATAATACTAACACTTCTTCACTCTTGCTAATCCATCTTCTAATAAACCTCCTGTTACTTACATAAGCAAACAACCACAAATATAGGTTAACCATAACAATAAACAACAACAAAAAATACGTAAATTACAGCTGGTCATGTCGGCAATGAAGTCTTAGGTTGTGAAGACATTCGCTAGGCTTCGCATAGAAATTGATATAAAAAAATGGGTTATATCTATTTTGCGTAGCATATGTACGTACTAAAGTAAACATATTTAGTACAGTATTTTATTCATTTTAACTCCTTCTATTTGGCCTTACAGAAATCAATCAATAAATTGTTAAAGAAGGATAGATTGTGCACATAAACTCAACCACTTCTGCAGTTATTTAGATCAAATTTTGTTTTTTAAATTAAGAAATTAAATACATGTTTTAATCACTATAATGAAAATATATTTAACGATTTTAAGGTGTCATTCTGAGTTACGTAAGTGAATAATATAGCCAATGATACTAAACAGTTATTCTATAAGGTATTAAGTAACAACAATGAAGCAAAAGGATTGTTCTATGAAAGGCAGGCATTGCTTTGTACTTTGCACCCTGCACAACTGAGCGTTTTGTTGTAACATGTACTGGCTTGGCTTATCTAAGTATTTGGATCATTTGTAAATGTTTTAAACTCAGTCAACCCAGGGTTAGCTGGTGAGTAAAGCAGTGCTTTCAAATTCTTTGAATTAATTTGTTATATTTAGGATTTCACTTGACAGATTTATTGGTTTTGAAGCTTATTTATATTGTAGTAAAATCAACCTTTAGTAAAAACTGTTTTGTAATTATTATTATAGAATTAAATTTAACAATCATTAGTTTAGTTCTCGGTACTATGAACATGACAGTGTATTTACATAAAATATAACATGAAATATTTGCATTGTTCAGTATTTTTCAAGTTCAATTTCTCATGCCTTTTGAAGTACATAATCAAAACGTAATCATCATTGAATACATGTTCATTAATAACTAAGTACTTCAAATGTATATACCTAGGCTAGTTAACTAATTTATTACTTTGTAACCATGTACATGTAAGGGAAATAAATATGTTTTGAATTTGATGTTTTCAGTAATTTTAACAATTTTATCATCTGCAGGTGAAACAGGTGGAGAATCAATACAAGGTCCGACCAGAAGCTCAACTTTTATTCTCTCTAATTCCGGTAGGTTAAATATTCCCTTTCCGTTCTTATTAAATACCTATAACCCCTTTATAATTTAAACCTAGTTCAGTTATTTTGAATATAATTTACCAAATGCAGGCCTAACACTTTTTTTACTCAAAAATGTCACTGAAAAGAAGTACATAGTTTAAAATTTGTTCAATATGAATATTCATAAACGAGTGATTTTTATTTTCAATTTTTGATGGATATGGTACCTACTTATTCTGAGTTTATTATGTAAAGGCTACAACAAAACTTGACAATTTATGAAAAAGAACCCAAAACGATCCTAAGATCTTTATTAACCAATATTTTCTAGTTTCTTAAAATATCTTGTAGGCTAGCATAAAATTAGTTTGATTAGTTTAGTTTTATTGTTTAATGTTATTTTACTTACAGCTGATCAAGAAACCGATGAAATGCCGGTACCAGCACCGTTGAGAAATGCTACTTTTATTTTATCAGGTTAGTTCTGATTGTTTATAGAATGTTCTCTTAAATCTCAACTTGACATGGATTATGTAGGCTACTGCTCATCTTTTTGTACAATCTAAAGCCTGATTTGATGTGCGTTTAATGTTGGTTAAACCATAATTCTGTGTTCATACAAGAGTAAAAGCAATAGTTTACAATAGATTGTTTTTTATCTTACTTCTTCTTACTTATAACGTGAAGGTTTGGATATTTTTGCGTATGTTACACATTATTTTCCCATGAAAACCACTAGACCAATTGAGCTAAAAATTTGCAGGAATAGAGACAATATACCGTAGATGAACATAGGTCTATTTTTCTTTTGAAACTCCTATTGCCCACTGGATTCCAAAGTTCCCATGTTATCTTTTAAACCAAGTATTTTTTTCTATGTAAGTGAGAAAGTGACTTTTTACTAAATTAACACTAATACCGAAACCCCACCTAGGCTGACGTTAACCGAAACCCCCGGTCTGTGAGACCCCATTTGAAAAATAATGGACCCCGCTTAGAAACACACAAACCGAAACCCTCGGTCTGTGAGACCCCGCTTTAAAATACACTAACGCGGGGCTTCTGAGACGGACATGTTATGATACGACCTGTCAAGGTCACGGCACCCATGCAAAATGAACAAACGATATATCAATAGGTAGGGGAGGAAAAGGGGGGAAGGTATTGGGGGAATGGAATCTACCAAGTAAACAGTGTTGCCAACATGCGTTTTTGAAAATTCCCATGGGCCTGTCAGACCGGGCGGTATTAGTGTTAAGCAGTATTTTTATATGTAATTGTTGTTTTAGAGTCAGACAAAAATGTTCTATAACTTAATTGTTTTTTTAGGTTTAGATTGAATTGACAATGTCACCAGTTTAATATCTTTGCTATGTACAAATGTTTTTATGTGACAATAAAGTGAATTTGAATTTGAAATTCTTATGAATACGCTAGCTATTAGAATAAGTATATAAACCGGCCATTTAAAAATGTTTTTGTATCAATAACCTTATCTCGCACTTGGCGGGAGATTCAATAATTTAATAAAATTTAAAGACACACAGTAAAGTGTATACGTCAGCTATAGAGCTATAAATAGCTATGTCCACACTCGCGCGCTTTTGTGTGCGCCAAGCGCATGCCTCTTAACGCATGCCTTGAAGCAGATGGACGCAAGTGACGCTTGCCTCAAGGCATGCACGAAATGAGTCGGAAGGGGCTCCATTCCATAGCGCACAGCGTAGCGCAAGACAATCCACCAGCCTTGGATTTCTATGCGTTTCAACTTGCAACCGCTTTACATTTTTGACAAGTCGTCCGTGTTGCAGTTGTTTGAAGCATATTGAATAACTAAGAAACCTCAGAATTCATAGAAGATTGTTGCTCTTATTTATGTTAGCAGGACATACGGAGTAATACAAACATTAAAATAAATTGATTAAATTAAGATTACATTAAGAGAATTAAAAAATTAAAATAAAATTAGAAAATTTTGAGTACTATAGGCCCTACTTGAGTACTTCTTCATCTATATTATCCGATATGGTTTCTTACGGTTTGGGACTTTTATTGACACTAAATTTGCCGCACTATCCCTCCTATCAGAATATTGACGTCTTAATCGAATTGTTAAAAGGTATCTAGAAAGTGAGGATGGTGGCGCATGAGTGTGGACAGCTAAAAGGCATGCCTCAAGGCGCATGCGATATTGTTTGTGTTGATGCATGTTGAATTGAATATTGAATTGAAAGCTGAAAGGCACATTGAAATTGAAAGCGCAGGAGTGTGGACATAGCTATTGGTGTCTTTCTGTTAACAAATTATGCCAGCAAGGGGTGAGGAGTCTCCTTGTGGCATACACACTAACTTTATAAAAACACTTTAAAATGCTAAAAAGTTTTAAAATTGAATTTATATGGAAGCCATAGCCTACCAGTAGAAACTAAAACTAACATTTCTTGTGTTCCTTTAAGTTTGTTTATACTACAATCTATACTATAATATGAGTAAAGTTTGCGCACAATGATTTCAAAAACGACAATGATTTCAAAAACGGATACTACGATTTCCTCCAAAATGTTAGAAATATCTTAGTTTTAGGCTAAAAACAAAATCCATGGTAGCCACTGTTCTGGGAAAATTTGTTTTTGATAAAAAGTTAATTTTTAACATTTAGTCTTATGGAATGTCAATTGAACATTTTTAGTTTTAGTAAAATTTAAATAAATGAATTGTAGCATATGCTTGTAACAAATCAACTACAGTACGGAAGCAAATTACTAAATACAGTACAAAAGAAAAGGATATTCCTACAAATACTATTGAGCATTGATTAAATAATAAACTGCACTTGGGGTTTATTACTCAGCAATGGGATGATTACAACAGTTCAAAAATGCAAAATCTTTTGAGGCAGTTAGATTAATGTACATGCATTACTAGAATGCTATGCGAAGGGAGGGAAACAAGTCCACGTCGTAGGAAGTGGTGAATGAAGTAGTAAAAGCGAGAAGGAAGGAGTGTGGGAAACATTTGTGGCAGTTGGATTAATTTATCAGCTATTCTAAAATGCTATGGGACGGGAGGGAAAGAGGTCCCCGACATAGGAAGTGGTGAAGATATTCATTGGTAAATGTGAGGAATGGGGAGTGTGGGAACCATTTGTGGCAGTTAGGTTAATTTACATGCAATACTAAAATGCTATGGGAAGGGAGAGAAATAGGCCCCCGACGTAGGAAGTGGTAAAGGTGAGCAGTGTGGAATGTGGGAACCTTTTGGGGCAGTTAGGTTGATGTACATGCAATACTAAAATGCTATGAGAAGGGAGAGAAACAAGTCCATTACGCAAGAAATGGTGAAGGAAGTAGTAAAGGCAAGCAGTGCGGAGTGTGGGAACCATTTGTGGCAGTTAGATAAATTTATCTGCAATGCTAAAATGCTATGGGAAGGGAGAGTAACAGGTCCATGACATAGGGAGTGGTGAAGGAAGTAGTAAAGGCGAGCAATGCGGAGTGTTTGAAAAGTTTGTGGCAGTTAGATTAACGTATCTGCAATACTTATATGCTATGGGAAGGAAGGGAAAGAGGTCCCCCACGTAGGAAGTGGTGAAGGTATTTCTAAAGGTGAGCAATGCGGAGTGTGGGAACCATTTGAAGCAGTTAGATAAATGTATCTGCAATACTAAAATGCTATGGGAATGGAGAGAAACAGGTCCATGATGAAGGAAGTAGTAAAGGCGAGCAATGCGGAGTGTGGGAAACGTTTGTGGCAGTTAGATTTATGTATCTGCAATACTTAAATAGCCCCATACTTGAGAATTATAATACGTTTTAGTATTTTTAGTATAGTATTACATGTTTTAGACAGTATTTTATAATGTATTTGTTTGTAAAGAAAACAAAATTACGTTGAAAATCATACATAATTAACTATGTCTGTTTTATATTTTTTACATTCCAAACAAAATTTACACCAACGAGAAACGCTCGGTCCCCTGGTACTAAACATAATTATAATTTGACTAGAGCTTAGATTTTTCCTTCACGTCTGTTTTTGGTATTATGATGAGACAAATGCATAATACAAGCTACTAAGGGTAGAAACTAGATTGAATTGAAACATAAAAGTAAAGAACGTGGCATTGGTCTTCGATTTGAACTAGCTAATTTGGTCTTAGATTGTTCTTGTTTTGATGGAAGTACGATGGAGACCTTAATTAAAAGACAGCACTCGTATATAATGTTACTTGTAATTTTATTTCTAATAACTGGTTTTGTTTTGTTTTCAGGTGGCAAAAGTCCACAACGCAAGTCCTTCAAGTTTTCATCCAAACTAAGTATGTATGTTTAGATAAAAAAAATACCCCCGCCGCAGCAAACCTGCAGACTCAGCATATTTCAACTTGTCTGATTACATATTTACTCAAATATTTCCATAAATAAGACATATTCCCAATTTAAATAACATTAGATTTAACAAATGCTTAGGTTTGCTGCTACGGGGAAGGTAAACAGTGTTTTTTGATCAAACGTCAATAGTATATAATGAAATAAATAAATTTGCCAAGTTTGATCAACATATATCCATAAACAAGTAAACTGCAACAGTTTTCATTTTCTCCATAAGAATAACATGGGAATTTTAAATTTGCACTTTTTTGAATTTTCTCCGTAACCATTAGGCATACAACAATTCTTCAATATACTAAATTATATCTTTTTTAAGCCTACAAAATGGTTAGGAAATAATTTGCATAATTTTTATGTTTTTAGGGTCAAAAATGGGAAACCCCATTTTTACCCCATAAAACCCCACATAAACCCCTGTTCCCATGGTCCGATCATGCTGGTTCGCGATCTTGTTAGAATAAATGTAGGTTTATACCAAATTTCATCAAAATCGGATAAAGTTATCGTGCTAACAGACACATATTGTGCCGATTTAAAATGCAAAGATTTAAAATCCGCGCTAGGCAATGGACAAGTCAGTCCAACATGACCTAACGCGGAGGAATATTACAACTGGAACTACACTCGAACCGTGCCGTGTGCAACCGTCTCGCCGTCACTCGTGGTCCAGTACTTGCACAATGAACATCCAAGGTCGCGTTTGTCGCTGGTGTAGGACGATTTTATTAATATCTTCATTCGTAGCTCGGAAATTCGCGTTCGGGCGAAAATTGTACGTGCATCTAATGATCGCAATTGTCAAAATATATACTAGCTGGCCCGACAGACGTCGTCCTGTCCTAATGTGGTTTTATGTCAATGCTCGTTAATTTCCAAGATGAACTCGTTCGCATGGCTCAATCACGTCCTGGTTGAAGTTCGTTCGCTACGCTCACTCATCTTTAGGTTGGAGCTCGTTAGCTGCTCTCCCTTGCCTTCAGGTTAGCTCGTTCGCTACGCTAACTCGCCTCCGGGTCGAAGTTCATTCGCTACGCTCACTCACCTTTTGGTTGCAAATTAGCTGTTGTCATAAATTAAGAAAAATATAGTGCTGCACCCTGTTGGTAAACCTATTACCTTTTTAATGCTATTGAACATCACAGAATCAAATTGTTTAGTTGAACCAGCTGTTAAGATTCTTTAATTCCATTTAAATATGAATACTCATAAGGTTAACATGGGAAACTCCAGAGCCACTGGGGCGGAGCCCTTTTGACGGATCTTCACCAAACTTCACACAGACCATCCTTGAATAATGCTTAATAATGCCTGAAAGTTTCATTACAATCTGTCGAGCGGTTTCGGAGTCCATAAAGGACCTAACCTAACCTAACCTAACAAACATACATTGGATTTTATATATATAGAAGATGAATCTGAAGGGATGGTGTTTTTGGCCTCTGGGGACCTCAAAACGAAAAAGTAAATTGGTCCCGGGTTCAGGTCTTACCATGAGACCTACGGTAATAGCTTATTCCCTATATGGGAAATAGTATTGCATTTCTATTTCCATATGTTAAATAAGTGCATTTCTTTATTATTGTTGATACAATTAACATTTTATATGTTATTTTCAGCTTCTGGGAAAATGACTGCTGAGTCAAAAAATATTGAAAAACCAGTAAAATCAATTGGTAAGTGGATAAGTACACTACATACAACAGCATGATAAAATAACATAAATAAAAAATTTATTTAATTTTTCTAGAGAGTAAAGTTACTAAAGATTTAGTCAAGGTTTTTAGAATCAAAAATTAAATAGTGACACCCTCCCCCCTAGCTTGGGAAAGAATTGTGTTCCATCAGTCAGGTATCAATCAAAGGGTTAGTTATATCAAAATTGTGATTAGTTATGAGGGCTATCCAGAAAGTAGATTACATTTTTGTCTGTATCCGCTAGGGGTGGGGCTAGCGCGACCATCTTGGTGTTAGTTTGTTATGCAGCTCAGTCGGCATCTAGCCGTGCTAGTAAGAGGTTTCTGCTGTACTCCGTTGAGTTACTGTGACAGTTTAAAATGTCTGTGTTAATTGAAAATGCCGCGAACTGTGAAGTGCGTGCAGTTATAAGGTTTTTGACTGCAAAAAAACTGTAAACCGACAGAAATCTATCGGTAACTTTGTGAAGTTTATGGGAATAACATTATTACTGAAGGTGGAGTTCGTCCAAGATCATAAGCGAAAAGCTTGGTTACCAAACTGTAACCAAAGAGTCCATTCATTTTAGCGAATTTCCCTATAGGGAAGTAGCTATTACCGTAGGTGGCACGGTAAGACCTAGACCCGGGACCGATTTTCTTTTTCATTTTGATGTCCCCAGAGGCCAAAAACACCATTCGTTCAAATTTTTATATATGTATATATATATATATATATATATATACGTCCGTGAACGCGATAACTTGAGTAATTTTTGTCCGATTTTGATGAAATTTGGTTTAAAGGTGTAAAGCAGGATAAACTTGAATGAGTTCGCGAACCAGCATGATCGGACCTTGGGAACGGGGCTTTACGGGGGGTTTTATGGGGTAAAAATTGGTTTTTCTCACTTTTGACCCTCAAAACACAAAATTTCCCAATTTCTCTATAGACCTTTTTAAAGAGCTTAAAAAAACAATTAATTTAGTATATAAAAGTATTTTTGTTCGGTTAATAGTAACGGAGAAAATTAAAAAAATTGTAAATTTAAAATTCCCATGTTATTCTTATGGAGAATATTGTCAAATGTTGTAGTTTGCTTGTTTATGGATAGGCCTATATTTTGTATTTTGATCAAATTTATTTATTTTGTACTAAGCTATCAATATTTTACAAAAAACACAATTTATTAGTTTCCTTGTAGCAGCAAACCTAGGTACTCGTTAAACCTAATGTTATTAAAATATATTTAATTGAAAATCAATTCAGACAAAATGGAAATTCGCTTAGTCGGCAGGTTTGCTGCGGCGGGGGTATTTTTTTTTTTTTTGCATACACTTCACAGTTTGCGGCATTTCCAATTAACACAGACATTTTAAACTGTCACAGTAACTCAACGGAGTACAGCTGAAACCTCTTACTAGCACGGCTAGATAACGAACTAACACCAAGATGGTCGCGCTAGCCCCGCCCCTAGCGGATACAAACAAAAACGTAATCTACTTTCTGGATAGCCCTCGTACATTGCCTGCTTAACTTAATAATCCCTGTTATATTAAATAGGCTCCTACTTCTTATTATGCAGATAAATCAATTAGTTTTCTCTGGAAATTTAATTTATATGGCATGAATTGTTATGTTGTTGCACAATATGGCTCAACATTATTGCTTAGACATATTTACTCCAGATTTGGTAGAGGATACCTTAGCTAATAACAAATATAAACAAACCTAAATATTTCTTTATACCCCCAAATACAAATTAGAAACCTCTAATTTGTTTCATGCCCTGTTATTCAAAAGTTCCAGGCCAAAAAGGATTAAAAAAATACTCTGTCACCAGCAATAATAATAAGATTTACAACTAGAACTCTGAAAAGCAAAAATATTTAGACGTTTTTCGGTTTTGTAGCACTAATAGTTTTAAATGTAAAATATGCATTTGCCTAAGAGAATAAGTTGTTCACAGTAAATTAACAATGAAAAACACTTACAGTAATTAGTGCTAGGTTTTCTTGTTCAATATGCTTTAAATTCATAAACCTTTTTTGGTGTTGCTATAAGAAGTTTGATGCTAAGATAACCCTCCCCCTTCAACGTCTCTCTTTTGTATTCCTATTGTATTCCTTCCTTTATCTTTAAATAAGACGTCAATAAATTATTTCTTTTAATTTACTCTGTGCATATCAGTGTGTTGTATAAAATAAACCCCTGTTTTATTATATTTCACGATACATAACATAGGCCTATATCATGTACCTACTGATTATTTATATTCTAATACTTTTGTAATTCTTTTTTCTTTCCTTGGTAATCTAAGATGGATATCCTTAGTATTAATTTTGAATTCACACATTCATTATCAGTTAATTATCATCTTCCCTCTTATCACTTAACTGATAAAACTAAACATCAAAAGGAAACAACATTAGAAAAGATATTAATATTAGATCGAAAGCAAGGAAAAATCCAATCAATTGTTACTTCTTAAAATATCTTGAATAGCCCACAACCCTGATTTATTTGGAATCATGTCTTGTTACATCTTTATCTTTGTAGTTTAAATATAATTATTTTCTTGTAATGCTTATGGTTTCTTTCCATATACTCATGAGTTTTCCAGGGGCCAAATTTTTTGGTTCTGAATGTCTTGGTATATCTGAAAAAGCTCTCATTAACACGTTCGCTGCTAGAATCCTTTTGGCAGTACGGTCAGAAATGTGACGCAGCCTCTGCGCGCCTGTAAATCAGCGAACGCAATAGTATTAAAATAATTCAGTCTTGACAGCGGCAAAACAGCGGTGGTAATGGTACTGTGTTAACCTGAGAATGGACGTAGTTCACTGAAAAACTTACAGATAGCAGCACTGCCTGGATCCGTAGCCAATGTCTTTGTAATCAAATCAAATCAAAACATCTTTATTTTCCTCACATGTACATGGGTACAAAAATAGTGTCAAGTATAAAGTACTAAACTAGCTTAAAGATATAAATACATTTTAAGTATGAATAGGTATTTATCCAATGAGTTCCTCCATTGTATAAGGCGCCTTTTCTATTAAATGTTTTTTTAATTTAGATTTAAATAATTTATAATTTGATTCCTTCTTTTATAGAGGCCGGCAATTTCCTTAGAATTAGTGATCCAGCAAAAGTTGGTTTTTTTTTGAGGATTCCAGCTTATAGGTTGAAGTTACAATATCCTTTTTATGTCTTGTATTGTAACTATGTGGCACAACTGGCTCATATTTTAAGCTGTCTCTTTTAGCTATACATGCTATTTCAAAAGTATACGCTGCAAAAACTGTTAAAATATTTAGATTTTTAAAGTGAGATTTAACTGATTCATCTTTTTTAAGGTGTAACATAGTTCTAATGGCTTTTTCTTGCAAGATTAGAATTTTATTTAAATTTTTAATCGTAGTTGCCCCATAAAGTCCAATGCCATAGTTTATGTGAGAATGAATATGGGCAAAATATATTTTTTTAAGTGCATCTAAATTGCACAAATAAGACATTCTTTTCAATGCGTACACTCCAGAATTAAGCTTTTTTAATAATTTTTCAACGTGTTTATTCCAACTTAGATGTTCATCTACATAGAGACCTAAAAGTTTGGCTTCAGAAAGTTGTTCTATTGATTCTGAATCAATGGTCAAATTGGGTTCAAGTTTCTGTTTACTTTGTTTAGTAGAAAATGACATAAAGTTTGTTTTTGTCGTATTAAGATTCAAATTATTATTTTTTAGAAATTGTTGTATATTATACAATTCTACAAAGGCCGAAATTTCCAACTCCTCTTTACTTTTCCCCGCCACTGTTAAATTTGAATCATCTGCATATAAACAAATCTTACTCTTTTGAGGATTAACAATACTTTTAGGCAATTCTTTTATATAACATAAAAACAAAATTGGTCCCAAAATTGGACCCTGTGGCACCCCCCCACTTAATTCTACGTTTATGAGAGTTAAATGTAGTTATATAATTGTTTTTGTTTGATTTTATTTCAACAAATTGCATCCGACCATCCAAATAAGATTGAAACCATTTTAAGGGGACTCCCATTATTCCAAGACTTTCCAGTTTCTCTAGCAAAATTGAATGACAAACACTATCAAATGCTTTAGAGAGATCCATGTATATCCCTAGAACATTTTCACCGTTTTCAATTGATTCTACGATGGACTCAATGGATTCAGTAGATGCTGTTATTACTGATCTTCCATTTCTGAAACCATGTTGAGAATTATCAAATAACTTATTTGAATCAAGATAATCTACCAATCTACAACCTGTGTGAGTGTCGTATTTGCTCTCACATATCCAAAGACCTTCAATTTATTTCTACTGAGCTCAGCCATCTTGGTTGATACGGTTTTTCCTTGGCTATCAGAACAGAATAAAACCTCCATCTCCGAAACCCAACTACTTTTCTTTGTACTGTAAAAACTCTTCATTTTCCTTGTCCTATTACTTTTCTCGTGTATGTTAGATTGTTTGCTGTTATGCTCCGATGCTCCCGAGATGCTCTCTTTTTGACTTTCCTGAATGGCTTTTAATGGCAAAAACTGGTTTGCTGTTGAAATATCTACTCGTTTCCTAGTTTTTAGCTGAGTTTTTAGCTGTTTTTAGTTTAAACATTAATGTGGCTCGAAGAGAGATAATCCCTGAAAACTGGACATAAAGCGTTGCAAGACAGGATTTTACGGGAAATTTTACTACCAACCTAAACCCAACCTACACCAAATTAAAGTATAGGACCAGCACAACATGCTGACATAGTTTAGTTGATCCCCGATAAATGTGGAGGTCACAATAGACCAACTTGTATAACACTGCACTGTATCATCCCTGACTATTAATCTTAGTAATTAATTTATTGGAGGTTAATTACATTATAGTAAAATACTGTTAAATAGTTTAAACTATGATTCCTATAAAACAGATTTTTTCAGGTCTCCGAATAATGCAGAACTCAACATTGAAACAAAGAGTTGACAAATCTTGCAAAAAACAAGGTGAGGATTGAGGTTATTTAATAAAATAATGTTTTTATGTTCATCTTAGATGTTTTTGTAATTTTGATTTCATTCTCTCCTAGTATTTTGTATTACAATATAACTTAAATTATCCAAATTAATTGGGACACTACCACATTCAAAAAATGCAAATTCTACTGAAATTCGGGGTATTTGATAGGAAATACTTAATTTTGGTACTGTATGCATTTTTAAATAATGGTAAATAAAAAGTTAACAATATTTGCAATCGAAAAATGCACATGTTTGCCATGATTGCGGAGACGATGATAACGTTTTGTGACCCCGGGTGGCAATAATTAATTTTCATGACCTTGTGAAGCGATTATGATATCCACACAACTGTAGTAGATGTTCAGAATTTTGTCAAAATCATGGCTTCTGCCTTCTTCAATAACTTCTTATTACTATAGTGTTAAGTTGTTAAAATTCACTCTGTAAGCGATTCGTATAATCAGCGATTCAGATAGTTGGGAGTTTGTATGATTGGAGTTCTTCTCTAGTAAATTTATAGTAATCCTAATACTTAAAAATAACTTGTTTAATGATTGTATTATTTTTTATATAATTTTTTTATTGCCTCTAAAACATGTGTACTAATTTTTTAGGCAGTTGTTTTGTCTTTGTACTTAATAGGCCTAGGTTCCGGTACTTGATTGTTATTTTATATGAGGCTACTGTTTTGCTGCTCTACCAAACTGGCGCTATTCAATAGTTCAACATTGTTTTATTATTTCATTTCATTTCTGGTATATCATTCTGCAAGGTACCTACTGGACTTTGAACGTGCTGTGAATATTGTGGTTACACCTAAAAATACTGATGGGTCAATTCCAACTCTCCCTTCATATTTCTTAAAATGCAAACTGTATAGTACTGTAATATGAAGGAATTGTCAACTTTGTATTCAATATCAATTCTACAATCACTTGTGTTCGCGATAACTTTATGATAATCTCCTGCCCCGTTATAGTGACATTGTTTCTGCAATTGTGGCGATAGGCTATAGATCTCAGCCAGGATTACTTGCAGTTTTAGTCGTGTGAACTGTGGTAAAACATTAAATCACTTTTAAGATATAAACGGATTATATTTGAGACACTACAACAGTCATTTCTTTACACAACAACAGTACAGGTACATTAAAACATTTAGCAACCGACAGCAGGATTACCAACATTACAAAACGTATTAGCCTATGTACAAAGCAATGTACCAATCCATTAGGCTACATCTTTATCACTAGATTACAGTGATATCTTACTAATATTATAAATGTGAAAGTTTGTGTGTTTGTTTGTTTGTTTGAAGTTCAATCACGCATAAACCACTGGACAGATTGGGCTGAAATTTGGCATGATGATAGCTTACATTCCCGATTAACATATAGGCATATTCTTATCTCAAAAATCCTTTCGGGCTCCGCCCCAGTGGCTCTGTAATTCCCCATGTTAACCTTATGAGTATTCATAGGTATTTAAAGGGAATTAAAGAATTTAGTCAGCTGTTTCAACTAAAAAAGTTGGTTCTATGATATGGAAAAGCATTAAAAAGTTATAAGATTTACCAACAGGGTGCAGCACTATATTTTTTTTGCATTTATGAAAACATCTAATTTGAACTAAGCAGCAACAAAAAACTGTGATTCGCAATGAGAACTGTCAAAGTAGGATTGTTTACAGTTATGTGTATGTTTTTTCATTTCATGAATAATTTGTGATATTTTGCGAATTGATAATTTATTTTTCTCTATTGTTTAGGTAAAATGGTAGAACATTATGGCTATGGTAGATGTGTAATACTATAGAATACTGTAAATTTAAAAAAACAAATTTTATCAAACTGTGTCCTCCACCCATTGCAATCGCAAAGCTTGAGTATAACTGCAATAAGCATTTTATACTTATATTCCAACCCCGTACGAAGGACGGGTACTCTGCTAGTATATAATAATACAACAGGATTGAGGTCATTAAAATTTTTTTTGTACAAGCTTTGCAGATGGATTCTGTGATCGCTTTTATGCCCCCGTCCCAAAAATATAGCAATGTTAATAGAAACAAGCCTGAAAACGTAAATAAACATTTCCTTCAAAAATTAATATTTTTCAAATGATTTTGGTGTTTGATCAATCTATCTTAATATGATCTTTTGTTGTAATACTTGTAATCATTACACAACTAGTAGATTTTGATGCAAGAAAAGCCAAAGTAAGAAACAGATTTAAACAATTGTTCTGGTAGTGGAGGAAACTTAACATAGTAGTTTTTAGGGAGTCTTTTGTGGAGGCTAGTTGAGATATAAAAGAACATTAGGTATAGAATATATTGACCTTCTGTTTGCAATGCTCAGTCCCCAGGTAGCAAACAGTATACAATCTAATGCTCTTTGTTTTCTACAGGATCTACATTGAAGAAGACTACGCAAACTAAGAGCACACCAGGTAATAATTACTAGCAGTAATGTGTTGTCATCTAATTATGCTATTTGCTGTTTATGATATCTCGGAAAATCTTAATAATCAAATACAGTAGGTCATTGACAAAATGAAGTTTTTGTATATAAATATTTAACTGTATATAAATATATAAATAATATATATAAATACAATATAAACTTTTATTTGGCAGAAAAAAGCAATGATTTGTTATCTTTTTTAGATTGCTGACTTGGCTGGGAAAGTGTTACCTCTTAGTGGTTTTTTGTTAGATTTTATTTATTTTTGTAGAAAATTAACAGTTGAAATAAAAATCCTCTTTTCTCTGAAAAAAATTAAAATAAATTTTATTTGTAACAAAGTAATACTGTACTGTTAAAACAAACTGAGCTGACGGAATTTAACTACAATTGATTACTTTTGCTTCTACTGTTCTGTTAATAACAGCATGTACAAATTCTTTGAACCAATGGGCCATCTTTGCTTTGCTATGGGTTCATCATTGGCTGTTGTCCAACCTGAAGCTGTCTTCATGGTGCAAGTATATAATTAAATAGGGATGGACGAGACTGGATTTTTAGTTCGAGACGAGACGAGACGAGATTTTTTATTTCTCATAAAATTTCGAGACGAGATTTCTCTTCTCATACACAACGGGAAATGCACGTTCGAAATTTTTACCTGATTTTGTAACATTGTTAGATGACTGTTTAAATACTAAAATAATGATAATAGGCAAGAATATTAACAATCTTTCATTAAATAACATCAGCATAACATTTTTTTATTAATCACGCCTAACTTATTAAAAATGCCTACGATTAGGAAACATGGTGATATCAGTTAGGATAGAGTTCAACTTATCCTAAAATAAAATAAATCATAAAATAAAAGCAATATTAATTTTTATAAAGTAGTTACTTGTTTTGACTTTTTTTATAGTAATAAAACATTCCTCACACTGCTTACACTTAACAAAACTTCTCAAATGTTATTAAAGTAATATTATTAAAATAATGAAAGTAATATTTACATTAAAAGAATTAAAGTAATATTTACATTAAAAGAATTAAAGTAATATTTACATTAAAAGAATTAAAGTAATATTTACATTAAAAGAATTAATTAAATAAGAACGCCTTCGAAAAGGAAACGCAACTACAACACGCTCCTGTATTGCGGGTATTGCATTGACTTTCTGCAGGCGTTTTTTATTTTTTTTTATTTTTTTTTTTATTCTCGTCTCGATAAAAATCTCGGCCAAAAAGTAATCTCGTCTCGTGTAACGAGATTGAAAATTTCCCGAAATTTCGAGACTTGACCATCCCTATAATTAAATAAAAACATATGTATAAAATATGTTTGCATCTGGTGGCCTACTTAGCACCAATTTAAAGTTGACTTAGAATTTGTGCAAAAATTTAAAATTTTTATTTTTTTAAATTTTTTGTAGCGTTATGTTTTAATTTTTCGAAAATTTATATAAAAGGCATATCCTTCCAATATAAAGAATAAAAGAAGCCATCTCTTGTATTGTAAGCATTTTATTGAAATAAATTAAAGGGCCATTTATTTAAATTAAAAATGATTATAAACAGTTTGGGTGAAATATATAGACCACGGCACAACTACATCTCATTTCATTTCAATAATATTGTTTGTGTAGAACTAAATTCTACATTTTTGGTCTTATCTGCTTTAAACCGATTAAAAACTTTTTGACACACGTACCAAAATTACTATTCAACAAACCCCCTAGGCTTAAACTCAATTTCAAATTGCTATGTATGAAGTTTTTGAAAACACATTTTTTTCTATTTCTGATTTTGTCAAGAATATTGTTACACTAAACACACACTTTGCAACTGCATTAAATTAATCTAGTTATCATCCATTAATATAGGTTCTGTGTCTGGGGCTGTAAATCCATCAATGTTCATCTTGAACAACATAAAATGCATTAATGTTACATAAGTGTTCTGATAATTAAACCCGTACATCTAAAGACTAGTGTAAATTGAGCCCTTATTATAAAAGTAAAAACGTAATCAAACAGTTTAGGTTTGTTAGAAATAGCATAAGGCAAAACAAATATTGAAAAACTAATCTATCCTAAATTTATATATCACTTTTTAATTGCTTGTTTAACATACGTAGAGTGATTTTCCTGATTGTTTTATTTGTTTTAGTGTATCAAAGCATAAAACAAACCTTAGTACTAGTAACTACGTTTCAAGTTCCTAGGTTTCATATATGTTTTGAGTTTTGATAAGTAGTATTAAACTGTAAAAAATTACGAGCTACTGATGGTACACTGCATTTTCAATGGAAAGTATCAGGGAATATCACTGCTCTAAGTAATTTTATATAGTAAGTAGTTCAAATCAACCGGTATACCTGAAAAAAATACTTTATAAAAGTTTTAAAATAATTATCAGCTGTTCCTATGAATTTCTCTAACAATTAAATTAATTGAGATTTAATCGCAGCTGTTCCTTCTTTTGTTTTGATTTTAATCCCATGTTATTTAAATGGGTCAAAATCGTACTTTGAGGGCTTGCCAAGGGTTTATGGGTCAGCGCACCGACTTGAGACCCTCAAAAGGCACATCTACTTGTTAAGGGCTTTCGAACAACATAAAAAAACATTAAAATTGAGCCAGTGGTATGGGCTGTAGGTCCATCAACATTCAAGGAGAAGGAGAACAGGGAAAATTTGTGAATTTTCAAACTAGTTTTTCTTGGCTCAAACACAACCGTTTTTTAAATTCTTTTTTTTTATTTTGTTGAGAATGAGTGCCCCTATCCAGTAGATGAACAATTATTTTAATAGCTTTTGTTTCTTCAGAGCTATAGACGAGTAAAAAAGCCACTTTGTCCACTGCAGCAGCTGTGTACCGCTGGGGGACTTGGCGGACTGTATAACCAAAGAAATATTATGCTTTTTAAATTGACTAATGATTTAGTACAGGAAATACAGTACAGGAATTATTCACCCCTCCCCCCACCTTCATATACCGAATAGTGCTAGATAAACAAATAATGAATTATTTGTTTATGTAGCTACAAAAGAAAGAGGTTCTTAAACGTGCAGACAGCGTAAAAGTCAAGACGACCTTTTGAACCATTATACGTTGGAATCAAACATAAAAAATTCTATTGTAGACCCACAGAAATATTTTTCAATTACTCTACGCTATGGAATATTCTGGAGGATGGTTATTGGTTTAAATTAAATATGAACATATTTTGAAATTATTTTATAAATTATTCTATAAATTTCCCTAGTGCACTTTTGACTCCTGGTACTAGGTAAAATGTATTACTGTTGTATGTGCAGTTCACAGTTTTTTGGATTGCAGGTTCAGTGTTTAAGAAACGACCAGTCAGCAAGATGCCGGACTTTAAAAAGATTCATCAGCAGCTTTTCAAAAACATGGAATCCCTCAGTGAGAACAAGAAGCGGCAGCAAACTCGAGCTCAAGTGTTGCTGCAGTCTCCAGTGCCTAGGGTGGGTTGATATACCAGGTGTTTGGTTAGGTTGAGGCGAGCTTCCTGACGTGGTTTGAACAGGACTATGGCTGGGCCGGCACTGTGAATAAATCCCATTAGTCACAGCTCACTGAGTGCATCACTAAAAAGTAGATGTATAACAAAACAAGGTACTCTAACTAAGTAATCGTAAGACAAGCAATTGTGTCTCGGTCTCTTGTATATCCGATTGAAGGGTTCCCAGCTGACTTGAAGTGTTGGAATCAAAAGAATAATATGCTGTAAGTTTCAACACTTAAAAGTCTTATTTTATCTTAAAGAGAATACAGTACAGTGTTTCAGATAATTAACTAATTATATTTTTAAATAGTTCTTTACATTTCCAATTTTAAGTGTAATTTGCTCAGCCATGTCCAGTTCATCCTATTCTATATTCAGGGTCCGGCAAAAAAACCACCCTGATTTCAATAGGCATTTACAAAAAGAATTAGAAGCATACAGAACAATTACTTATATTATTTTGTAAATAGCCTATATGATGCCATTTTACATCACTTAGTACACTTTACTTGGTTTTGAAAATTATGTTCGATAAATGATGTCCCTCATTGTTAAGACATTCACAAAGTCTTTCCCTGAAGTTGTCCATAGTTCTTCGTGTAACTTCCCTTGGAATGGTTGCCACTTCCTGCCTAAGTGTTTAGTTCCTGTAGAGTTCTTGGACGATGTTTGTATACTTCAGCCTTTAGGTAGCCCCACAGAAAGAAATCACAAGGTGATAAGTAGGGGTGTGCGAATAGTGATTTTTAGGTTCGAGCCGAGCCGAGCCGAACTTAAGCAAAAAGTTCCGAGCTTCGAGCTTTTTCGAGCCGAACCTTAACCTTCTAAAGTTTGTGGTATATTCCTGTTTTTACGCAAAAATAAAGATACAAAATACATGTAATTGTTTAAACTTACTCAAATAGGTGTTTAATAAGTAAGTATTTTACCAAGCCCCTATATATTCAATGAGTTTGCTTATCCTACTAGGCCTATTTATTAAAGGTTTAATGGGAAATACAAGATAACATTCTTAATAAAAATGCAAATTTATTTTATACAAGTAAATAATATATCAATACAAAACAATAGATTTATCTTGGAAATATAGCCTATTTGAAAATTAACCAAACATTGGAAACTGAGATCAAGTTGATAATGCCAAAACTAGGAGATGAAAAAATAACGGTAACAATAACACATGAATAGATAATGTAACAAATAAAAATCCATACTAAAGATTAGGATACACACTTTACCCTGACACTACATTTTAATTTCCTAAAAAGGAAGTATTTTGTTGAAATTAATACAACTCCTTAAATCATCTTAACAAATTAAATCAACAGCTACCTACTATAAAATAAACAACATAAAACCGAGATCAAAATGAAAATGACTAGGCTATATTATTTAAGGAATATCGATGAAAACAATTAACAGTGTAATAAATAAAAAACTATACAACAAACTGTTGTATGGTATCTTGCATACTCGAAAATGAAACGAACTTTGAAAGTGATATCCAATTAAAAATGCCAAAACTAAGAGATGAAATAATTTTTTTAAAATAATAACTGGTAGCAATATTACATAAATAAATAATGTAACCAAAAAGATACACTTCAAAACCCTGCATCAACATTTTACCAGGCAAAAAAAGGCAGTGGTTATTGAAATTATAGGCCTACAAAATGTTAAATCATCTTAAACATTTAATCATAAGATAATACTAGAAAATTAGGAACATGAAACTGAGATCAAGATGAAAATGTTCAGCCCATGTTATTTTAGGCAAGTAATAAAAACATTAACAGCTAAACAAATAAAAAATACATAAGAAACCGTTGTGAATATAAAAATATTTTTAAGCCTACGTACAGTAAATAGATAACTCAATCAGGAAACTACTTCCTTACGCAAAAGATATAGCCTAACTTAGAACTTTAGCATTTTTTATCTGCTATATTAGGCTATATTTCAAATGAGTACTAGGCAGTGCCTTGTTTCAGGTGTGTAAGCCTATTTTGTAAAATTGAATTGGCTATAACTAACCCAAAAGTATGGTAATCGAAAGCCACTTGGCCTATGGTAAAGATAGTTACTGAGATCAAGAGAAAGTTACAGCAGTAAAACATGAACACTCAAAAACTATCTAAATTTAACAAAAATTATTGAATGGATAACATAACCACGCATGTAGAAAATAATTATATTATAGCCTACTATAAAAATATAAATATACCAAACAAACACTCAACATCTTGAATATAAAAATATAACCTAGACCTAAACAGATAACTCAACCTGTAACCAGATAACAACAAAACTAATTGAATGGATAACTTAACCATGTATGTAGAAAATAATTATATTGCACTATAAAAATATAGGCCTACCAAACACTCAACATTTTGTATTTCCAGAGTTCATGAAAAAGTGTGGTTATGTTTATAATGTTTCATGTAACATGAAAATGAACGCCAATGGCAGTTAGTTAGCTTAGTTAGCGTTTGTACTTTGTATCATAAAATGATATTGATTTGAGATTGTGAGGGTGCATAACCATGACCCAAACGTCCCTTGTGCATTTTCGAAATATCTTAAATATCTATATTATGGTGCAAAAAAACCAATTCACTAATGTGTTCCTGGGTTAAACACCTGCGCCTTTCATTCACCACATTTCCGGCACTCGAGAAGATTCTCTCACTTGCTACTTCAGTGGCAGGAATCCCCAGATAACGCTTTGCAACTGAAGCGATTGGTCCATATAATTGAGAATGCTGTTTCCACCATGAACATGGATTTTCTTGCATTGGTATGCAAGGAGAATTTATGTAGGCCTGGACATGTTGTTTCACTGCATCTTCTTTTGAACTCGGTCTGGTTCTTTGTGAGAGAGACTGGAGGTGACCCCATAATGACATCTCTGGTAGACCCTCTGAAAAGAGTACAGAAGGTTGATACTTGTTCAACTTGATAGGTTTTCATGAGTAAAAGTTGTAAAATGCCAATAGGCCTACAACAATAAAGACAATATTGACAAAAAGAAAATGCCCTCTTAAATCCTTCCAAAATTCCCGCCTTTTGGCTAACGCAATAAGAAAACATTTTTTTTTACTCAGTAAACTAATCAAGCTGTTACTACATCCAGTACTCTCATAGAACATTACATTCAGTGTAATTGTCAAAGCCTCAACAAACTCTTGTGTAGAGCATTATAAAATTAATGTTTTCATTTTTTATATAAACTAGTAGGGCAAAGATTTGGCCCTAACTTTATAATTTTAGCCATTCTGCTGACTAAAAATATACTAGGCCTAAATACAACTAGGTCTTACCCTAAAGCTTGTACTGACCTTTTGGACCACCAGAAGTAGAAGAACCTATGGATGCTGGTGGGTTATCTTCAGCGTAGAAACTCATTGCTTCCCTCTCCAATAAGTCAATTGCAAGCTTCTTGTTGATATCATCTAGGATTAGTGCCTTATACCTCGGATCAACCAGCATTGCCAATTGATAATGTTTGCTAAGTAGATATTCATCTGGCGGAAATCTTGCATTGATTGCCTTGTCAAGGGCCCTAGCGAACATTGTGCCTCTTGCCCCAGATGTAATGAATTGTCTAATGACAGTTCTTATTCCATCAATCAGAGGTAGTACTGTTGATAACGTTGGAAGATAGCCACTGGAAGATAATTTTGTGGCATCATCAAGTGGTTTCAATATATGTATATAGCCTTCAGCCAAGTCCCATTCGGTAGAAGTGAGGTTGTTAGGTTTTATTGATGTCGATAGTTCAGCTGAAATTGCCTGCTTTAGAGTAACAAGACGAGAAAGCATGTTGTATTCAGAATTCCATCTTGTCTCGCAGTCTTGAACAAGTTGGAGGGGAGTTTTGCCTAATTGTTGTTGTAATTTGTTTAGTCTGGTATTTGCGGAAGAACTATGCTTGTAGTGGCTGACAATAGCCCTAGCTTTGGCCAGCATGTGTAGCATACCAGGAACATCTTTTTTAGCATCGCTGAGTGCTAACTGAAGGGTGTGCGCAAAACACCGTATATGCGTCCATGGTGTCATCGACGCTGCACTGACCATATTGGCAGCGTTGTCTGTTACACAAAAAACTGGAATAGTACAATCAGTTCCTTGTTGATGATTCCAATCATTTAGTAATTCCATCAATTTAGAAGAAATATTTACAGCGTTATGTTCTTCGGGGAAATGAGAATTACTCAAGCAATAAGATTTTATATTGAAATCTAGATCAACAAAGTGGCCTGTCAGGGAGATAAATGAATCGTTTGCTGCGGATGTCCAGATATCAGAGGTCAGAGATAAGGATTTTAAATCCTGCATTGTATTTTTAAAATCATTTGATATTTTTACTTTTGTCTCTTTGAAAAGATCCGGTATAACACTGCGAGAAAAGGTCGTTCTTGAAGGTATTTGATATCTGGGTTCCACAATACCCATTAGGTTTCTGAAACCATCTTCCTCAACCAAAGTATATGGATGGAAACTTTTGGCCATCCACTTTCCAATTGCCTTGGTTATCAGTTGCGATCTGGGATGGTTGGAAGATAATTTCTCAGTTGTTCTAAAATGCTCATCTATTTTAAGTTGCTTAGGGGCTGTAGGCCTAGGCATTTTAGACCTTTTTTGTTCAGCTTTTAAACTTAAAAATCCCTTCTGTTCTGTGTCATATTGTTTATATATGTTAGCATGTTTATTTTCCAAATGTCTTATTATAGACGATGTAGTCCCTGTAGGAGTTTTGAAGGTTTTTTTGCAACTATTACATTTTGCTTCTTTGGAGCTTGTCTTAGTAAAATATTTCCAAATAATGGCCTGACCAACTGGTTGTGTAATACTAGAACTAGGCCTAGGACTAACTGGGTTGATCACTTCAACAGAAGTACTTGTAGAAGGTCCAGCTGGTGGGTCATCAATGCATTGTTCATCTTCACTATCCATCTTGTAATTTGAACGAAACTCAGTAAACTAAACAAAAGGTCAGGCCTTAAAAACTACAAATACAATCGAAATTAATTAAACTCGCTACGTCCAAACTGTTCTAATTGTACTTTCATTACACGACGTGACTAGAGAAATACACGCACTTCCTACATTTTGGGCGAAACTATTTTTGTAACAAACTACTTTATAAAATAACAAATAAATTATAACAATGTTACGACTAGAGAAAGATAAAAAATTTTAAAAGTAAACAAACACTAAACAGAGATAACAGCCAAGAAGTAAAACCAAAAACAATAACAACAAACAACGATTCAGAAACGAAACGGCAACACGCAATATGATTTTTTCACATTCGTGCAGTACAAAGTAAAACCAAATGCAATCTTTAACCATTGATTATAGTACCTTTATAACATAATAAGCGTAACGTCAACAATTATATGATTAAAATCATTGACGAAGCAATTGCTTTATACGAAGTTGGTCAATCATAACGATTTTAATGGAATAAAAAATCCACAAATATTATATACTAATATGGTTGTACCGTCAACCCGCCACCAAGCACGAAGGCACTAACGTGCCACCCCGACAATCCGCCACCACACGGAAGAGGTGCCACCACGACAACGTGCACCACATCAACCCGCAACCATTGATTATACTTCTTCCCCAAGATGTATAATCAATGATGCAACCCTAAACTGCTTCTTCTTGTTGGTGGTTGGTTGATGTGGTGTCATCTTGACGCGTTCCCGCTTTGTCAATGCTAATACCACGAATATTAAAACCACGGCCGCCTCTAACTACAGGCCGCGGCCTTCGAACTGGCAACGTCGCAAGTGGTGTTGTAACAGCTGTTTTTGTTTGGAAGCAGCTAATGGTATTTGTGTATTTACGAACGAATGGTTACTGGACTATGACATTATTGACTCCGCTTAAAAATCTACAGATAAATTCATATTGTTTCGGTTTTCAATTCTGTATGTTTTATTTTCAATATTTTAATAAATTTATATTAATAAATTTAAATCAATAAAGTGCGATTTAATGAGCTAATGTCACATGTCTGCCATGTTATCTTATCGGACGTCTGTCACTGAACAACACCACTTGCGATGTGTTGCCAATTCGACCAGACCGCGGCCTGTAGTTAAAGGCGGCCGTGATTAAAACAGACACGGTATTGTTCATAAACATAAACAAATGTGTTACTGGCTGGAAAGTGCAAATTTAAAATAGCTTAAAATGATTTGTCCAAACCATGTTGTTATTAGCACTCGATCCGGACCAGTTACGTCATTTGTTTACATTGTCGATTTTATAACAAAGTCGCCGTTCCAGTGCTTCTCAATCCAGTATTCTTTCTCACTCAGTCTCAGTTTAGTGTCCAATCCAAACATTGCAGCAAAAATGATGTGCAGTGTCGACGGCAGTGGCATTGGCTAGTTGATTTAGTCAGCTGATTTCGTCTTGTCATTGCGTAATTCTTTCGTTGATTGGTTCTTCTGTTCTTCAGTTCAGTTCAGTATTTACTGAGCAAACATCGTGTAATGATGTAGGCTATGCTTATCGAATTACATATTGACACAATTATGAAACGGAGATTAAATTTAAATGAAAGTTAGTTCCTTATTTCCTATTTTAAGTTTTATTTGCTAGTTCAAAAAGTATTCGGCTCGAACATTTCGAACTTTTTGAAAATCACGAGCCGAGCCGAATAGGACGCTATTCGGCTCGAAAAAGCTCGATGTTCGAATACTCGCACACCCCTAGTGATAAGTCGAGTGACCTTGGGGGCCAGGAAATGTCTCCTCTTAAAGAAACAAGACGTCCAGGGAACAACTCTCTTAACATTTCCATGGACCGCCGAGCAGTGTGAGCTGTGGCTCCGTCCTGTTGGAACCAAACTTCTTCTTCTTCCTCATGGTCTAAAACAAACTGGTTGATCTCGGGTCGGAGAAATGTCTCTATCATGTGACAATAGCGATCGGATTTGACCATTACTGTTTGTCTATCTTCTTCAAAAAAGTACGGTCCCCACACACCAAATTCCGCAACAGCGCACCAAACTGTGACTTTTGGGCTGTGTAGTGGTTGTTGGTGGAGTTCCCTAGGATTTTCTTCAGCCCAGTAGTGGAAATTCTGTTTGTTAACATTTCCACACAAGTGGAAGTGGGCTTCATCTGGGGGAATGTTTTGCAAAATGTAATCACATGCAGCCCTGCGAGTTTCATAATCTTCTTCAGACGACTTTTGGCTAACCATTATTTTGTAGGGATGCAGATGAAGTTCTTTGTGCAGAATTCTCCTTACACTCCTTTCTGACAATCCCAGGGCAGCTGCATGTTTAACCGCTGAACGCTTTGGAGACTGTTGGATTAATGTTCTCACTCGCGCCACATTCTCCGGTGTTATTGCAGTACGAGGTCGTCCAGTTGGTTTTCTTTTTAGTGCTGACCCTGTTTGTCTAAAGTTTGACACTCACAGTCTAATCGTTTTCGCATCAGGTACACTATCACGTCGGCCAAGTTTGAATCGAATCCGAAACGCTCGTTGAGTAGAAATCACAGAACCGCCATTTTTAATAAACTCCTCCACAACAAACGCCCAATGCACACTGAGCCAAGCCATGGCAACAATGAAAATGGCACGTACGCCGCTACGTAACAATACCCCCTCCACATCTCTATCCCCACTACAACTCACGTGGTGTCTTGCTCAAACCGGGGAGGTTTTTTTGCCGGACCCTGTAGTTCTTGTGTGTTTAAATTTCTTTGGGAAGAAGTTTTTAGTTCCTAAAAACCATATTTCTTATTTTTAACCCAAATTTAGAACACATTTTTAAGTCCTCTAAAAACTAACTAATTTAATTTGTCATATTTTTATCACAGGCATATTAACTTAATTTTTTTTAATTTTGTTAAAAACACGATAAAAACTGCACAAAAGTAACAGTGCTCCAGACTATCCTCTAACAACATATTTTTTTTGTAATTACTTGCAGGAAATAGAATGTTCCTAAACTATTTTCAACCATGTTGGTGTTACCTGTCTTGGTAAACTACACATTGCACCCAGCAACTGGAGCAGTGCTAAAATGGTACCATCCTCTGGCTGCACTGGAAGAAATATTTACAGTTTTTCACCATCTCTTGAAAACTGCTGTTTTATTCACCCAAAGAATACGTCAATTTACACACACACTTATAATAAGTTGGCGTTAAATTTGAATCTAGATCTCTCAGTCACCATCACACTCTTACCTAGGAGAAAAAATGTTTTGGAGGGTTTGTCTGTAATTTTAAAGAATCTAGTATTCTAATTCCGTAAGGAATTTCTTGTGCACAGCAAATCTCTTTTATTTATTAACCGATTTTGATGATTGATGTGTCAAATTAAAGGGAATTATCTGAGGAAGTCATGGAATAATTTTTGTCACGCTCAGTTCAATGTGCTTCGCCCCATTGGACTTTAAAGTTTCCATGCATTTTTAAATATAAGTGAAAATTTAGTTAAGTTTATCAAACATATGATTCATTTCCTTTTAAAAACATCTGTCTTCATAAAAATAACCTCTTTTATATCATTTTAATATTTACTTTTACTGTTTATTTTTCAGTTTACTTTAAAATACAATGATGACTGATGAAATGGATAGATCACCATTATGGCCAATATGTTTAAAAATAGTTCACTTGCTAAAAACATGAGAGCTAATCCAAGGGAATCAATATTTGCTGAATATCTTTTCCGAATAGGGGATGGCCATGAGAGCTATCATAATGATCTTGGTGATGCATTAATACTTCTTCCACCACAATGTTTTGTGAATGAAAATATCATTGACAAAATCTTCAGTGAAGGATTCTCTGAAGACGCTTTAAAAAAGACAAAAAAATCATGCATTACTTTCACTAAAGAATGAACGTTGTGACGAAATAAATAATAAAATAGTTGAGCAACTAAATAATGACAGTCGAGTTTACTACTCAGTGGACACATTGATTCAAGAAGAGGGGGGCCAGTTACATATACCTGGTGAATTTCTTCACACTTTAGCACTAAGAGGTTTGCCTCCTCACAAATTATGCCTTTAAAAAGGTGTAATTGTAATTTTACTAAGGAATTTAAATCCACAAAAAGGACTGGTTAATGGAACCAGATTAATGGTAAAGAGATGAATAACAAAGTCCTAAATCTTGAAATTATTACTGGAAGTTCGGCTGGAAAACGAGTGTTACTGCCCCAATTAAGTTTAGAACTATCAGAAGGAAATTTTCCCCTAAAATTCAAACGTCAACATTTCCCATGTCGAGTCGCTTTTGCCATGACCATTACAAAAATTCAAGGACAGACACTTGAAAAATTTGGTCTTTATATGCCAGAGTCCTGCTTTCAGCATGGGGCATTGTACGTAGCAATGTCAAGATGCCACGCTTTTGATGATCAAAAAATAATGGTTAAAGAACAACGAAACCAAAGTCATCTGGCTAAAGACGTTAGAGTGTTAACAAAAAACATAGTATGGGAAGAGTTTCTCATTTAACATTTTAAAAGTAAGATGACAATTTTAACTGGTCAGTCAGTATTCTGTAAGCCTACTCTGTTAGAACCTTTATTAAAACAGTATCGAGCTTAACATTTTTATTTATTGTAATTAAAAGTTTAGCTCTTAAAAGTTTGTTCTTTTTTTCGTAGTGATAAGTTAAGAGTTAAAAGGTTATTTAAATTTGTTTAATATATTGAGATATAGTTAAGATTATTAACTGGAAACAACTAGTAGTTAGTTAATTTGAAACTAATTGATGATACAAATTTGTTAAAAAAAAAGAACAGTAAGATGTTAGTAATATGTATGAAAATCTTATAAATACTGCATGACTCCATTCACATGTACTACCTCCTGTATTAAAGAATGATTATTATTTTTCAGTGTGCTTTGCTGAGCCCGAAACAAAACAGTAGAAATACAGACAGAAGCCCCATGACAAGAGGTGAGATTTTATTCTGTTTTGTTATTCTAATAAATTAAACAATATTTCTAGGGGGTTTCCTTGAAACGGTTAGAGGTCAGTTAACCCTTTTTGAAGGTTCAAAACTAGACCCAGCTGTTCCTGACCATTGGGCATAAAGTTTAAATACATGATCCTGGCTAAAGAAAACACTGATCTTATTCAGTAACAAAGTCACACGGATCATCACACTTCATTCTACACTCATTTTTTTGTTAAAATACACACCTAGGTGGTGTTCCCATCTCACTTGGTAATAATAATAAATAACCTATTAAAGCAAATTAGATACTGGTATTAGGCAAAGGTCACATAACCTAACAGGGATTTATTTTTGACCTTAAATGTGTAATATAATAAAAGCATTAAAAAGTGTAAAACCCTCACCACCGGCTTCATATTAGATAATTTAGAGCCAGTTGGTTAGCTCTACCACAGAGAAGTAAGGTATAGAGGAAACTTGCTTATGGGACAACAGTGCACTTTCAACCCTAGTATGTTGTGCGAGAAATATACTTGTGACGAGCAAGAAAAAGCATGAGCAGCGAACAGTTTGTGGAAATTCCTGTCGCACAGGGTCTACCTCCATCTTGAGCTATGTCGTAAATGAAGGTGAAGAATGCGGTGTTGGTCATTGGCCTAGATATTAGGGACTAGTGCTAGACACCACTTAGGTGTACCATTGAATGATACTCTCTACCTTACTTCTCAATGGCTCTACCATGTGCAATAATCGTTGACTTTTATCATACAACCTGATGTTAAATGGACAACTCGTAGCTTTGGTTTTTCTTAATTTGTACCTAATCCAAAAAAGATTTTAACCATCTTTTGCAGCCTAGTTAAAGTGAACAGATAAGACGATGTGTGAATACAGGTTACACTAAAGAATAGATGTACAATTTATGTAAAAATAAAGTTACAATAAATTAATGTACAAATAGGACATTTTATTATTTTTATTACGTCATTTTATTTTCTCTCTGATTTAGTATAAATTTTCTTATTTCAGTGGCACCTTCGCCGCTTGCTGCAAAATTGAGAACTCCTGTAGCCTCTTGCACGTCAACGACCGGAAATAGACCAATCACAGCAGTGTCACGCACACCAACCGCTTCATCTGTGAACCGCTTCGGTTTCAGAAAGCCTGTGAAAAAAGAAGAAGCGTTGAACATCGTTGGAAAAAAATTGCCTGTTGTGAATATGTGAGTTTGACTGTATTATTCATATTTTGTAGGGATTAGGTAATAATTGAAAATCTACTTAAGCCTTAGCTCTGAATATTTATAAGGTATGGAAATACTCCTAAGTATATCTAAGACCACAAAATTATGAACGAAAAATGATTTTGGGATTAAAAAGATGTATGTAGAAATTAAAACGATTTATTATTGAATGAAGACAGCTGTTTCTACAGCCAGGACAATTTAAAGATCCAATTAAGGACAGCTGGAGTCCTTACTGTCTTGGTAGCCACAAACATTTATAATACCTTGATGAGCCGATCTTCTATTGTCTTGTGAGTTTTTATCAAAGATTGGCTTTTGTCCCCTGAAATTGACCGATATTATTTTGATCTGATGTACTTACGAATTTAGTTTCAGACTTGTTAAACTTATTTACAGTAGACTCTCTCTTAACTGGACTCCTCGGAACCGAGGCCAGTCCGGATAACGGGTTTTCCGGTTAAACCGACGTCCCCAAAAACTGGTTAAAACGGACTGTTTAAATGCATACTGTATAAGCCAATAATGATTACAGTAGAGTCCCGCAAACTCGGCGTAATATGTGGACTGGAAGGTTGCCGAGTTTGTGAAATGCCGGGTTATCGGGAACTAGAGTTAAAAACAAGAACAATACAATTTTTAAGCTTTTTAACACCTTTTATAATTAGATTTATATTTCAAGATATAGTTCAAGTCATCAGATATAGTACAACAAATCCTTAGAACGAGTTGCAAATTATTATACTTGAGCTGGCTTGTGTCCATGTTTAACTCGGACTCAAAAATTCACTAATTTTCTGAGCCAGGTGATGGCCGAGTTATCCAGGCTGCCGGGTTATCGAGTGCCGAGTTTGCGGGACTCTACTGTATTATGTATTTAGACACGTGATCACTGGTCTCAAATCTTTCCCACGAGAACAGTTGTTTCAGTACCGCCCACTTCCTGCCGATCTAGTCCATTTAAACCGATGTGCTGATAAAAATTGTCCGTTTAAAGAGATGTCATTTCCGCCATGTGTAGACCGGTTAAAAGGTGTCCGGATAAGAGGGAGTCTACTGTAGCATGTTTCTAATTACGATTTTAAAGGAGTTTAGAACTTAAAGCTAACTAACCAAGCAGTATTTTCAGTTTTTGTGATGCAAACCTCTATACGTAATTTCATCTTTCAAATACCTGATGTAACTATTTGAGTAAAATTCAAAATAAAGTAAGAAAGTATTTTTGAGAACAACGTTTTGGTTGAGTCTCTAAACAAGTTAAATGTTCATATAGTTGGATTTTGTTAAATCTTATGTTTGTTAGCTTATGTTTGTTGGTTATCAACCTGAAAATTGTAGAACAATAAACTATGGATTTTATATTTTAGGGAATATTCGTAGATTTACAGTTTGTGTTAAATGTAAAAGAATATTTTTTTTTCTCTGTTAATAAATTTTACATTTCCATTTTTGCAGGGTGACAAAGAAAGAAGAGCAAAAGAAAGAAGGTCGCAATATGTTAAAAGGTGTACGCACGAACAAGCGTTTCATGCTTTTAATGCAGATGAGGAATATGGGCGTAGACTCCCCAAATTGAGTTTTTTACGATCGATTGCTATATCAATAAAACAAAAAAATGTCTTAACTCTATGGGACAATAAATATCTTTTTAATAATATAATATCTTATTCTATGTTAGTGTGTGCTATAGGCTATATTTGTGTATATTATATTTCTGATAGTGACAATAGAACCCACTATTTTATTAAAGAATTTGTAAGAAATTTGGTTTTATTTTTTCATTTCCCCGTACCTATAAATTTATATATATCATTTTTGTAGAAGAGGAAACTTTTGAACATTGGAATGAGTTTGTTGAACAGAGCAAAGTTGTTTCATCGTTATCCTTCCTTGACTACGGATGGAACTGGAACAAAATATTCCATTACATGTTAAAACTTAAGAATAAGGGAGACAAAGGATAGGATAAGTAGGCTTACCTTAAGAAATGTGGGCATCACACTTCAATACAGTAACACAGAAGAAAACACAAGATAAATTGGATATTTCGAGGCCACTGGCCCCTTTCTCAACATTGAGAGTCACAATAGATACTAAAGTCTTTAGTATCTAAGGTAGTCTTAGTATAGATACTAAGGACTTTAGTATCTATTGTGACTCTCAATGTTGAGAAATGTTTAATCTTTACTTTAAAATACTTGTTTTATATTTTTAGAATATCTCGGGAGCAGAACCTGTACCTCTTAACCTCTGCCATTGACTATATAACACTGCGTTATATAGTCGCCTCTGCTCTTCGAACTGTAAAATTTAAGTATTAGACACACGACACACATGTACTGACACACATGCTCACAGACATCACATCACTTTGAATTGAAAACCACTTCATTTGGTTCAGGGAGTTATCCACCAAAACCTCATACTCGAAAATTGCGTCAAAAACACTTCCTTCATGTTATGGTATAGGTCTAAAAGATAAAAAGTTATACTACCGTATAATAATAATAATAATAAAACGTCTTTTATTTAAAGCGGTTTTCAGTAACAATACTGTTTTTCAAAACCACTCAAGTCAATACAAACAAAAGAAATATTACAATACCAATAAATGACTTATTAACTAACAATACCTTAACTTATATTCAAGTCAAGTCAAGTCAAATAAATCTTTATTCAGACATACAACAATGTGTACATGAATGCGTCTTAATCTTAAACTATAACTAATACTAAAAACCATTTTCCTGATCCATTTTATCTTTTATTTTTTTTACATATTTACATGTTTATTTACATATTTGAACATAGTGCAGTAAATTCTTCAAAATTATAAAACTCTCCACTAATTAGAAAATTCTTAAGCTTTTTTTTGAACTTATTTCCGTTTTCCTCATTTCTGATGCTAGAAGGGAGGGAATGAAAAAATGTAACCCCAATATAATCAGGGCTTTCTTTAAATTTTTCTTTTTTATGCTTTTTAATTATAAAATTTTGTTTGTGTCTAGTATTGTAAGTATGTACATCTTGCTGTCTTTGCAGTTGCGACTCCCGGCTTTTAACATATAATATAGTCTTATATATGTAGAGGCTGTAAACTGTAAAGAATTCTAATTCTTTGAAACGATTTTTACATGATTCATTTTCATTTAAATTAAGGATGCACCTTATGGCCTCTTTTTGTAAATGTAAAATTTCATTTAAGTTAGATTTATTTGTTCCACCATAAATTTCAATACCATAAGCAATATGGGAGTGTATATTTGAATAATAAACCACACGCAAAATTTCTTTACTGCAAAGGGGATATAGTCGTCTTAAAGTAAAAATACCGGAGCTAATTTTATTACATATTTTATTGACATGTGAGGTCCACTTTAGTGTGCTGTCCAAGGTTAGACCTAAAAATTTGGTTTCACATGCAAAATTTTCAAATATCTTTTCGCCAGACTTTTTACACTCAAATTTGATAAAGGTTGTTTTGTTTTCATTAAGTAAAGGTTTTTTTCATTTAAGTAATCTCCAATTATTTTGAGCGAATCTTTCATTTTTATTTCTAGAAGTTCAATATTCTTTTCATGTATAGACATACTTATGTCATCTGCATACAAGCAGAGGGCATTGTTTTCTACCCGTTCAGATAAATGTTTTGGCATCCCTCCCAAGTAGCACAGGAACAGGAATGGACCCAACACAGATCCCTGAGGAACAGAATACTTAACTTCCCTAACATTAGATCTAACATTGTACATCTTATTTCCATCTAAATACCCAATGTTAACAAACTGTTGGCGGCCCTCTAAATAAGATTTTATCCAGTCCAGTTCTTTACCACTAATTCCATATGCTCTGAGTTTTTGCAGTAACTTTAAATGATTCACGCTATCAAAAGCCTTAGACATATCTAAAAAGGCGCCAACAACATAATTGTCCTCATCCAACTTACATTTTCAATATAAGAAATTAGAGCTGTAGTAGTAGATTTATTTTTTCTATATCCATGCTGTTCTTGATCTAATAAGTGGTTATTTTCTAAATAATCTACTAGTTGAAAAAGTAAACTTTTTTCAAATAGCTTTGATAGAGCAGGTTGAATTGCCAATGGTCTATAGTTTTGCGGATCTTTTTTATCACCTTTTTTATATACTGGAATTATTTTTGATATTTTTAGTTGAGCGGGAAAAACGCCTGTTATTAGTGATGTATTAATCACATGTAAAAGTGGCTTTAACAAAACAGATTTTGATTCTTTAATAATTTTGATTGGAATTTCATCATAACCGGATGACCATTTAGGTTTTATTGAATCAATTATGGATGTCAAAATTGATTCATCGATGGTTTGACACCTAAATTTTATGTTTAAAATACTTTGATCAGAATGTTGTTGGGTTTTCTTTAATTTTGGTAAAACATTTTTGTCAACCATCTCAGCAAAATTATCATTTAAGATGTTTGCGACAGCATATGGTTCTTCTATTTTTTTGCCGTTATGTTTGAGTGAAATATTACTATGACATCTTTCTTTTTTACTTTTTGTTTCAGTGTTCACAATTTTCCAAACAGTTTTGTTAACATTGGTAGAATTTCTAATTTTATTCTCAAAATGGGTTTTTTTCTTAAGTTCTATCATATTTTTGTATCTCTTCTTGTGTTCCTTAATATAATTCTTCAATGCTATGTTACTTCTATCATCTCTATATAAGTCATGTTCTGCAATTATTTCATGACGCTCATTGATAATTTCATCATCAATCCATCCATTATTTACGTTACTGGAAACTATTTTTGTTTTAGGGAAATGTAAATTGAAGTAATATTTTTAAATGTTATAGAAATAAGTAAATTTGTCTTCCACATTACAGTTATAAAGTTTTGTCCAATCCTCTTTGGAAAGGTCATAAATGAAAAGGTTAATGCTCTCTTGTTTATACCTCCTTTCATACTTATATATTTTAAGATTTAAACTGTTTTTTGTACTTTTTGAACTGAGGATTTTAAAAAGTTGGATTTTAAAAAGGATTTACAAAAGACATTTTTTGGAGTTCAGTCGAAAAGCTTTATAACTAAGTTTTTTTACATTTTCTGGCAGTTGATTGTATTTCTGAGGAGCAAAAAAAGAAAATCCCTTTTTACCATAATCCAACTGGACGGTCTGCTAGTGTTGGTGACCCTATGAACAATAGCCACAGTCTCTAACAAACATTCCGTCTGCACAGGCAACATCCCACTTTGCTTTCTGAAGGAAGATATGTGGTCAAACTTTCTCGAGTCATATACAAATCTTAAAGCATTGTTTTGTAAACGATTTATTTGTTTTGTATAATGAAACACGGGTAAAATTAATAACGAAGAAAACCCACCACAGCGTTTCATGTGGTAATTTCATTTAAAAACGGAATTTTTTTTGTTTCCTACAACTACTATTTTAACGCGAATGTGAATGACGATAATGATGCCCCTGGATCACAGTAGATGTTCACGAATCCTCTACAGGAGATGTTAAAAGTTTTGCCGCGACGTGATCACGTGTGGCGATGGTGATGTCCCCCATGATTGCAGAAAGTCCAACCTTAAGGGCTGGTGATGGCCGCCCAGATCAAATTTGGCCTGGGCCAGAAAGTATTCTGAAACTGGCACTGCTACAAAAACTACATTTTTGTGTTGAGATGAGTAAAGCATAGATCCATCCAAAACACAAACTTGAAAATTTTGACCAAAACAATACAACAGACTAACCAATACCTAATCCATACAGTAATTATTTTATATTTTGTATATTGTAGAAGGAAGAATTTATTCCGAGTTATTAAACTTGACTTTCCCAAGCGACCAATATTTCAAGTGTCGACTACAGAAAATGGTGCCCGATAATTCTTCCGAGCACTACAAACGGCCACAAAACAGGCTATACCAGAAGAATAGAATATTATCATAGGTAAATATTCTCCCTTGGACTGATGCTATTATTTTATTCTAGAAAGAAGGTTTCAGTGATCGGAAGCCATTTGAAGCGGCGCGTTTTGGCCGAGATACTTACTTACTTTCCATGTCCGGAAATCATACTTCGCTCTTCCAAAAATTAGCTACCGATATGCCTTTGTCATTCGCATGTAAAAGATCATCTAATGTGCAAGACTGGTCTAGGCGTGGGCAGATCAGCAGATGGCTAGGATCCTGAACAGCACCACACGAGCACAAGATGTTTTCTTCGTCTGGTAAAGAGACCCCATTTCTGCATGTTTGTCTTGCATTTTGGTACCTCGACCCTAATTCGATTTAGGGTCTTCCACACCGTGTAATGAAGGCCTCCACCAGGAGCCAGTTCCTCCCTGGCTGGTATGGGAGGGTTAGTCAATGACAAACGTGGCCTCCCACCTTGCCACCCGATTGCTTGAGAGTGATCCATCCAGGACTTGTGTCCGTGATAAAAAGCTCTTTCTGGGCCGAAGCCGTCGCTCTGCAGGTTGGTGGCCGTGTAATGGGTGACGAGGGTCTGTCTCTTGCTTAGTCCTTTCTGCGTCGGCAGCGACATCACGTCGGATTGATGGAGGGGCGATCCCTATGATAGGATAGAGTTTGTTTGGATGGGTTGGTTTCAAACACCCAGTTACAATCCGAGCCATGTCATTGACTGCAATGTCAACCTTTTTTTGCATGTGACGATGCATTCCATACTGGTGCAGCGTACTCCGCAGCCGACACACTGAGCGCTAAAGCTGAGGTTCTGAGGACATTAGGGTTAGCACCCCAGCATCTGCTGGTGAGCTTCCTGATGATATTATTCCTCGCTGAGACTTTACCTCTTGTCGCAATACAATGCACCTTAAATGTCAGTGTGCGGTCCAGTATGACACCAAGATATTTGGGTGTAGGACAATGCTGAAGACGGTCTCCCCGCCACCTCACATTCAACTCACGTCCTGCTTCTCTATTGTTTAGGTGAAAGGCACAAACTTGGTTCCTAGCAGGGTTCGGCTTGAGGTGATTTGCGTCATACTGGGAAAGTTCATTTAGAGTCATAGTCAGCTTCTGTTCCACCTCTTCAAAACTCCTACCTTGTGCCGCCACCGCTGTATCATCGGCATATATATACTGATGTGTAGCGTTTGGCAACGGTTGGTTGTTAGTGTAAATGTTATAAAGAGCTGGGGCTAAGACGCTACCCTAAGGCAATCCATTTTTTTGATTCCTCCATCTACTTTTCTTGCCTTGAAGGGACACGAAAAACCACCTGTTATGAAGAAAAGTGCCTATCATTGAAGTCAGCATTGAAGTCTTTGGGTAACTGTACACTTTTCGCGAGAGTCTTCGATGGTTTACGGTATCGTAGGCAGCTGTTAAATCTATAAAAGCGACACCCGTGATCTTTTTTCTCTAAAACCCATCCTCAATGTGCTGGGTCAGGTTTAAAACTTGGCCACAACAAGTTCCAGAAAATCGCCGATTCGATTGAGTATCAGACGTTCTAATTGTGTGGCATAAGAGGGAAACAGGTCGAAGGTTCTTAGGATCGTTTGGATCTTTCCCAGGTTTGAGCAGTACAGCCATAAGAACTTTCCTCCATGCCTTTGGTATATGCATTTGGCTTACGCACATGTTCATGAGGCTCAACAACCATTGCATGGCATTTTTATTTAGGTTCTTTAGTTGTTCAACTCTGATCTCGTCAATATACCTGGAGCTCTATTAGTCTTTAAGCTGGTAATGACTGCAGTTAGCTCGGACATTGTGAATGGTTCTTCCAGGAAGTGATTCTCACTTGCCTTGCCACATCACGCACAACAGGCTCCCGGTATTTCCTTACATAGGGTTTGCCATTTAAAAGAAGGTTGGTAGCGACTTGATCGGCTGTAACTGTTGTAAAAGTTGTCTTTTGGTTTTGTCGCATCTCTATTTATGGTTCTTGAGGAACTTCCAGGCCCGTCTGCTGTTCACCTCCCATATCTAAACTCTCTACAAGATCACACCACTTAGTTTTGTGATTTTCGGCAATGACTGACATAAGCTCTTCACCTGCTAGAAGTGTGTCCTCAGCAAAGGGATCATTGTCAAAGAGACCTTTGGTATCATTCTAGCAGTGGCTTTGCCTCTTCAGAGAGTCCTGCGATGTAATGGGTTCGACAGCCTCTAGGTATCATTTTTCTCGTCGAGACACTTACTTACTTAAGTAAAAAGGTTAAGTAAGTAAGTGTCTCGACGAGAAAAATGATACCTAGAGGCTGTCGAACCCATTACATTCGACGACCTGCGGGACAAGCTTAACGAAGGAGTCATGTACATATCAGGTTGTGGAGGGATATTGGCGATTTCTCTGTTAATGATCTCCCTAAAACCCGTCCAGTTGGCCTTTTTGAAATTAAACCTGCGCCTTAGAGGAACAACTTCAGGTTTAACAACAGCACTAACGGGTGCGCAAAGGTCTGTGTTGAGTTCGGGGAATCGGATCACCTACAGACTTTTCACACTGGGAGGCAATCCTTGCTGCTCACAAAGATGTTGTCAGGGTTATAACCCCTCTTCCATCTATCACTGTTAAAAGGAGCAAGGGAGCTTAGGATCGTGTATGAGCTGCAGGTCATTTGCCTCAGCCCAGGTTTCAATTTTTGTCCCATTTTCACCTGTCTCTTTGTATACCCCAAGCAATGCTCTGACAATTAAAATCCCCCTAGACGAAATTAATGTCATCATAGTATATAGATTATCGGGCTCTGTAAATACATACTGACATTCGGGAGGCTTATAAGAGGTGACACTGTACGTACTGTGGTGTCCTGACCGTTAGTATCTCAGTATTGTTCCTCTCAGTAAGTGAAGCTGAGGTGATGTCAATGTATGGCCTGGCGAAAACAGCACTACCATATTGATCATGAGGTCTCTCTAGAATCAGTCTCATTCCCTCTATGTTGGGTCTAGGTTTTAAAATGACCCGGTGTGGTGTGTTTCTTGCACAAGGAGGAAGTCGCATTCGTACGTCTTGCACATATCAGACAGTAATACTTCTTTGTCTCTCGATATTCCCTCGATATTAATCGAGATCGTTACCAATGGCCTCGAAAAAGACCGTTTAGGCAGATTTATTTTTCGAAGTCGTCCGGTTGTAGAACGATTTTCCGCTGACATGTCAGCGTTGCCCGGAGTGCGCCCGATTGTGATGTCGTTCATAGCGTGTAATGGTCACAATCTTCGGGGAGGTCCTTCTGTGCACCCCTTGCTTGAGGGTGCATTGGCCGAGATTACCAGCTTTCACTACTATTTGCCATTGATTATATATGTCCCAAGTATGCAATTGCATATAATTCGTTTTTTTACATTTTTATATAATAATTCAAACTTAGCCTACAAAGGCCTTTATAACGATTTAGAAGGCTGTGACTTTTATTCAATGAAATGTTCTTAGACCATGTGGCCTTTGTGCCATTGATCGTTGGAGTGACGTCACAGGATCACGCCACTTTCTGCCTACCCGATACGCAATTTGATTGGTCGAATCCTCGACCGAAAATACGACAGCCGTTGGGTTGGAGGAGTGGCCAGGCCAATCCAAATAATGTGCATCACGCAAAGTATGTGTCAAAAATCAAGTTAGGATCGTCTGAAGTAAATATTATTAAGGGAGTTTAAAAGTGTGTTTGATATTCTTTCTTTGTAATACAGTTTTTTCGTGTTTACAGTGTCGAACTGAATTGTAAACTGCTCCTAGCTCTTCATCTTCAACAATCGGCTGCTTAATTACGTCGTGTGTTGACCAATCTAGGTTAAAAGAAGAGAAAATTTAATCAATGTAAGTTTATCTTTTTAAGTTATCATTATTTTCTTATTAAGATTAGTTGGCTTTGGGTCGGGTAAAAGTACTTCTAGCAGTTCTAACCTTAACCTTGTTAGTTTTGCTAGACCATGGCTAGATTCATCTGCTAAAGCTTGCCAAGCCAAAGTTTGTAGTAAGCTAACATAAATTTAAAAAAATACTTTAACATTTCAATAGGCTTTACTTAGGTAGCTTTCTAGTTGACCTTTAAAACCACAAGTAGGCCTACTCTTAATTAGGTTTACTTGCCTGCTTTTTCTTACTAGCCTAAGGTGAGTGAGATGTAACAGTTACTATGCTACTGCAAGAGTGTTGAAAGTATGCTAGTCAAGTCGTAGAAGTCATTAACTTAATTTAGTCCTGTAAGCTGTTTTAGTCTAATAGGCCTAAGTTAGCTGACAACTAACTTATAGATTCTAAATTACTGAATAACAATGCATAAACTTAGGGGTTTAGCTTCCCCATCAAACATTGTTTAGGGTAATTAACCTTCCAGGGGGCGCAAGTTCGTGGAAAAGGCCAAAACACAATCTTTTGGTAACTGAAAGAAGGAAACAGGTTGAGGTTCACCCTAGCAAATACTCAGAAGGTAGGGGTTGAGCATAACAGTGGTGTTGAAGGGTTTTAATTAGGCCTAAGTTAATCCAAACTGCAGGGCACAGTGGCTGAGCAGTGCATAACTTACTTGCGCAACTGCAAGCTAACTTAAAAACTTTTCACAAGGCATTGGGTTAAATGAGAGCATTCAGTCAAAGCCACTAACTTATTTGCCGTCTCCAAAATGGTTGCATCACCTGTTTTGGGGTTTAAAACGTCAGTTCTTATGTGGAAACAGATAAGTTACACACTTGCATTTGTCCGTTTCTCCTTGGTAATAGCGTAGAATTGTTTTTATATTTAAGAGATTTAAAAAGTAAAAGTTCATCAAACGACACTAACTTATAACTTAATAGGCCTAAAATGATTTTGTGGGAATAAAGTTCAGTGTCTGATTTTACTGAACCAAACCTCTGTATAACTTTATCATCTTTAGCAAATTCTTTTACTCAACTTAACTTAAGAAAAGGCATGTAAAGATGGTTGGTCATTCTTCCTTCAAAATCAAGACTGCTTTAAACTTGAGTCAGACTTTTGAATGTAGGTTAGAAATGTATGCATTTGGTTAGGTTCTTTGCATTTAGGAAACTGTGTGATATAATAAATAGCATATTACACCTATATCCAGTCATTAGGTAGCCTACATTCGTTCATGGCATTATCATAACTTATGGGGTGGAGCTTTTTCCACTAGCCTATTTTAGAATCTTCACAAATGGCGACCATATAGAGTAGGTACCTATTTTAAGCCAAGTATGAATGGAGATGAGTGTATGATGAGTGGCGCAATCTTGTAGTCTTGTTAGTGACTAAGGCCGACATATTCTAAAGTTTGTAAACCAATTCGCTACCCGACAAACGTATTAGCCAATGTCGAAGTTTTCTTACTCAGTGTAAGACAGTTGTTCATCAAATTTCTTTCAATTCATGTACCGGTATTCCAAGAACTTCGATTCTAGATTTTAACCATAAGCCAACATCACATTCTTGTAATACCTGATACGACTCATGCACAAAATGTTGGATTAACTCCCATTTTCGGACCTCACTCAATAACCAATCCAGATATATTAATTACGTAAGGCGATTAATTACGTCAAAATTGTGGGCGACTGGGATGTCGTAAAACGATGGGAGAGGGCTTAAGTTAAAGGTCTCTATCCCGTGACGGCAGAAAAATAGTGCAATTCCCAAAAATTTTAACCGTAATTTTCATATAGCCTAGGTAACGTAAAATGTTCTCCATAAGAATAGCATTGGAAGCCATACACAGCTGCAAAGCTGATTTTTGTTTACTTTAAATAGTTGATCCCTCTATATTTGCAAGCCAGTGTTCAATAGATGGTTTATTTCTTTGCCAATTAACCCTGCAATGCACTGTATCCTATATTTAAACCAGGTATAACCTTAATTGAGACTTTGAAAACCAAAGATTTCAGTGTCAACTGTCAATATTGGCTTTGACAACTGGGAAATGGAACCTTAAAACCATAAAATATTATTCAATGTGGCTAATAAAACTGTCCATTTTGTATAGTAGGCCTACTTATTTACTTACCGGTACCTAAAGTTTCATCACAATCGGATGGTTGTTTAGTGACGCATAAAGGACAAACATTGGATTTCATAACAACAACCAAAGTAAACGTAGAGACTTTTTTAAACCAAGATATGGTGTACATGCATATCCATCTTCATAAAGATTCTTAGTTTGTTTGAATATTAAAATAAGTTGTTTTACATTTTGAGCTTTTTAGGGACTTATGTCCCTAGTCCCTCTTAATTTACATTTCAGAACTTGGTAACTACATGCATGATAAGGTGACCATTTGGGAACCTATACGGTAGTAAGAATTTATGTATATTACCAGAAACCTTATTATTTCCTGAAAACTTTGCAAAAAAAATTTTGCAAGCATTTTTGAAATTAACTTATTTATTATGAAAGTATTGGCTCCCAAGACAGTTAAGGCTTAGTGCCGACAATCTCATAAACTTATCGGTTTCTGTTGTCAGCTCTAGTTTACAAGTCATGACGAGGAACCTGTATTACAACAGGTAAGATAGGACCACTAATTTAAACTTTGGAATTTCAGTGACTGATGGATTTTTTGTAACGTTGTACTGCTCATAAAGTGAATTGATAGTTGGCTGCTGTACTAAGGCCTCTATATTTCTTAGCTGTAATGCATTCAGTCCAGTAAAAACTTAGGCTTACTTTTGAAATTTTTTTGTCATTTGATGTTAAACAATTTAACCCCAATGATTTTCCCTTAAGATATTTACGACTGCTGTCTGTAAATTAACGTCTTCATCAAGCACTAATTGCGGCTAAAAAAGCTGTTCAAATTCACGTTCTTGTCACTCATCTTCTACCATCCTAGCCAATTTCCACCCTATGTGACAATTAATGTTGTTATAGTAGTTAAAAACTACATGAAGAAATATGTGTTTGGACAAAGTTAATGTGCGTAAAGGGTACCGGTAGGAGAGTTTGGTGGTGATTGATAAAATTTGCACAATGTTTATGATGTTTTGTATAGTGTAGGCCTTGTGCATTTGTTCAGTCTTGTTTGAGGCAGTGACAAAATTTTGGAGAATTTTAGTTGTGACTGAATTAACGATTAGCATAGGGGTATCTGCATTTATGAGACTAACAACGATTTTATAAATCTGTTACCAATGATTATATTACCATTGAGATGGGGACACCACTTAGGTGTACGTATTTTAAACCAAACATGAGTGTAGGATGGAGTGTAGAATGAAGTGAGATGCCCTGTGTAGCTTTGTTACTGACTACAACCAGCTGTTTCATTAGCCAGGACCATTTAGTAAAAGCCCACCAAGGACAGCTGGGTCAAGTTTAGAATGACCAAAAGCTACTGACTTTTCTCTGGCAACCTTTTGATTACTTAAGGAAGCATTATTACCTCTCAGCTACTTTACCTTCCTAATTAGTTAGTCCCAAACACTTAAAGTAAAGTCCCCTCAACTTTAATTATTGTCTTGATGGAATCTGATCAGCATCCCTTGCTAGTCTCATGTCACAAATGTATCCGGCTTTCTACCCTCCTTATCTACCTATATAGGTGCTCAATTTCTACACTAACCCACTTTTGAGCATGGCTGTCACAGGAGCTCGTTGGGCCTTAATTTACATGCAAGCTTTGTATAGTACTTGGTTTAAAAGGCTAAAGCTCTTTAAGCGAATTTCCATATACCGTAGACTCCCTCTTATCTGGACTCCTCGGGACTGAGACCAGTCCGGATAAAGGTTTTTCCTGTTAAACCGACATCCTTAAAAACTCGTTAAAACGGACCATTTAAATGCATACTGTATACAGTATTTGACTTAAATTTAGGAGAGCATTGTATTTAGACACGTGATCACTGGTCTCAAATCTTTCCCACGAGAACAGTAGCTTCAGTACCACCCACTTCCTGCCGATCTAGTCCTGTTAAACCGATGTGCTGATAAAAATTGTCCCGTTAAAGAGATGTAATTTCCGCCGAGTGTAGTCCGGTTAAACCGATGTCTGGTTAAAAGGTGTCCGGATAAGAGGGAGTCTACTGTAGGGGAGTTAGCTATTATTGTAGGTCTCATGGTAAGACCTGGACCCAGGACCGATTTCATTTTGAGGTCCCCAGAGGCCTAAAAAACACCATCCGTTCCAAGTCATATATGTCTAGGTCTTACCATGAAACCTGCGGTAATAGTTTTTTTTATAAAACTAATTTGCTGGAAAACTGTTAAATCTGAAATAATTTGTATTAAAACCCCGTTTAAATTTTGTCCACACAGTAAAATTTCACCTACAGTATATAGCACATTTGGTCACACAGCGTTTTTGCTTAGTTCTAAGCTCTTGGCAGTTGGCATGTTATAAAAACTTCAGTTATCATTGAAAGGCTTCATATATTGAGGATCCAACTCTGTCAAAGTTTGTACATACGTGAAACTTATGAAGGGTTTAATTGTCCATAAAGTCTCTGACAAAGTGAACGTTTACTGTTTCTTAACTGGGCTATGCTACTATCGATTTAAAATAGGTATTGATTTGATTAGTAAACCTTCATTCAATGTTTTCATTATCAGCAAGTTTGGTTGGTTAGGTTAGGTTATAACAGTTTAATTTTATAATTGATAGTTTAAAAAAATCGAATGAAGGTTTACTAATAGAATTGATATTTTCAATTGATAATAGCGTAGCCCAGTTAAGAAACTGTACCCAAGTTAACAAACTATTGCTAACCGAATGTAATTTGACAAGCCGACTGATAACTCCTTGTGTGTGTGTGTGTGTGATAGCACAGACTATGGTACTAGAGTAAATTGTATAGTTGTTAATGTTTCATTCATTTTTCATCTTGTATGA